TTTTTTTTTTCCTTTCTCCAAATAGAAATTCAATAACCATTCACCTCTGACAGGTGACCTTATGTTTCTACTGAAAAGACGGACACAACAAAAAATGCAATCATTTGAACTGTTTTAATTCCCCAGTGAATTCTGGAACATTCTCAGGCTCTTAAGGATCTGGTTTATGACATGAGAGATACACAAAAAAAAAAAAAAAAAACGAACGAAAATGAACAACTCATAAGAAAATACTTTCTCCAGTAGATCTATCTCTAGAAGTCGTGTCTCTATAGCGGTAGAAAATAAAGCTCTCGTGACTCCTGTTACATCTTGCATATATTCTTGTAAAAATATACTTTCAAAATAAATAAATATATAAAATAAATATCTTGAAAAACATAAATTAAAGGACCTAAAGAAAAAATGTTTGGAGGAGTTTGTCTCCTGCTTGTCCATGCCAGTGTTTGGAAGAGTATGAAATCTCTATGAAAAACATTTCGCAGAATTCCTTCAGAAGCCTTGTAGAATCTTCAGTAGTAGTAAATGTCCATTATTCTCTGGCTTGAGGTCCACCAGTGATAATTTGCCCTCTTTTAATCCGAAATCCCTACATATAGCAGGTGAATGGATCCAAAGCAGTGTTCTGTTTTCCGGAACTATCCAGAGTCCAGACAATTGGTTCCTGCCACTGGAATCGAGGGCTTTCCATCTCCTGCTATTGCTCCAGAAGAGGTCCTCTTCCCCCACCCCACCCACCCGCCTGCACTGCTTTCTCCTGAGACAGGTCTGTCTTGGGGGGGGGATAAAGAGCATGGCATGCAGGTGCTTTTTTGGGTTTGAATTTGAGGTTCAGTGGTTTCAACTGTGACCTAGTATCTCCTTGTAGAGCTCAGGAACGCGCTCTGGATCCACAGGCCGTGGCAAGAAATGCGTGAAGCGCTGGTGCCTCCGAGAGCGGGCTCCATCCCGAGACGTTCCGTCTTTGTTGAGGGCTACGTAATAATGGGATCCTCGTTCGCCGTGCCGATACAGGTTCGAAGAGTAAGTGTTGTACCAGTTCTCCTCAAACTGCTCCCTGAACACACACTCCGCTGTCAGCTTTTCCTAAGAGAAAGAAAGGGGAAAGCAAGGGTTAACCACACTGCATAATAAGTTCCAAACAGAAGGATAAACTGTGTCCAAAGGCTATTTGAAATTGCACCATAAATCTCAGCCTCAATTTAGCACGGGCAGGCTATGAATGAAATGAATTGTTGCATTACTCAACACAGTAGCAGTAAGAGAAAGACACTGTATTTATGCTATACTTACAGATCCGTACAGTTCACCCTTGCTGTTCATTCCCAGATACAATCCGCTATCCACGCCACGGATGCTCACCATCCCCACAGCGAGGCTAATGAATTCCAATATACCTGTGAGAAAAGCACAGCTGTTAGTTCTCAGTTGAGACAGCAGGACAAGCACCTGCAATAGTGGCATCAATCTGCCCTATACTTAATTTGTGACGTATTTCGCGCTTAATCACAGTGTTTTGCTATATTATAATGAACATTATTCAAAAACAGTCAGCATGACCATGAAAATAATAATAACCCCCCTTGTCATAATAATATCATCACATTTTGCATTATAGTTGAGAGATTGACCAACAGTCAGCAATAACCATGTTGCATTTTTAAATAACAATGATCAGAATTTTGAACCATTATCAGTCCTGGTCAATTTCTACACTCAAATATGTAATATGCACTGTCTAAAAATACAGTGTTGCATGATTATTGTTATTAGTTATTTATTACAGTGGCATGCAATATTTGTAGCATTGAAACAGCAATAAATAACACTTACCAAATCTGCTGTGGTCTTTTCTCGTGCCTTGCACCGAACCGTCCTGTAATATCTCGAGGTGGAAGCCGGTCCTGCAGTAAAGCTGCCGCCGACGGAGGATCCCTTTCAGATGCGTCAGGTCCGGTGAAGTGCTGCGTGACAGGCGCTCGGCGGAGACGATGTGCTCGTTCACCAGAGCACCGGAGTCCCCGGGGGGCGTGAGGACGAAATGAGACCCGTGCGCAAAGCTCTCCAAGCCGTGAGAGAAGCTGCCCACCAGCTCACCGACTGCACCCATCACCGACAGTCGAAGAAAAGTTGCCGTGAGGAGAGCCCCTGTGGTTTCTCTTTCCCTAGTGTTTTGCGCAGTCACTGCTTGCGGCTTTGACAGTCAATGCGTGTTTACATCCGATTCTCTCTCGCTCTCTCTCTCTCTAGCTCTCGCTTTAGCACATGCTCTCTCGACCTTCCAGGCTACTCCCCTTTGCTCCGGTCCCCTGTGTATCCAATACTCTCTCTTACGCACTCCAGCACACAAGCTTATGCGGCTTCTCTCCTCCTGTGCTCTCTGGATGTGACTGGCTCTGTACTGAAACACCAGCCTAAATATGGCCCTTATGTAAATGCTCTCTTGACATATGCTAATGGCTCCCTTTATAGATGACTGTTTGAAACATAACTCCTTGATCGTTTGATCCTCTTCTTCTGTCTTCTTTGATGATCGGTTTCATCTGCATCCACGGGTTTAATCCATTGATGGATTATGATAAAAGTGCAGAAAGCAACATTGTGGCAAATCTTTGCGACGCGGAAAAGAAAAGTGCAGCTGGATGGTGAAGAGGGATGCGCACTGTGTACTGATCCGTTCCGTTCCCCGTGGTTTACGCGCACTGACGCGCTCTGGCGAATCTCTAGTGTGAAGCAGGTGGAAGCCAGGGAGGAAAAAGGAAAAGAAAGGGGGCGGTGCTCGAGAGAGAGAACGAGAGCGAGAGGGAGAGAGAGACAAGACTTCAAGGTGTGTAGTTAGGCTATATGTGTGTGCGTTGCGTTAGTAATAGTTGATGCCAAAAAGTCTCTTGTTCTTGATTTGCGACTTGGTTTATGCCATTATACTTGGGTTTAAACTTACGCTTAATCGATAGCGAGGTGTAAATTGATATGACCTATAAAATGTGCGTGTAAAAGAATAAAGAAGGAAAAGTCAAAACAACCTGCACATTTGTGCGCACGCCATCAACTCTGACTGATGTCAACGTGCCTTTGAACAGTTCCAGAATAACATGAGTTGAGATGAAGTATCAAAGATATCAAAGATCAAAGATCCATTACGCACAAAAGACGGGTCATTAACACAAAGGAAACGAACTGTTTGATGGCAAATCGTTGATACTATGAGTGATTGATATAGAAATTTTCCAGCCCAACAGCTAAGAACATGCCTCAAAGTAGATATTACATGAAAGATATGGACCTGGTGTTGCCTTGTTCATTTAAAACAAGATGAGCGCGCAATCAACTGCTCTTACATCTTGCTCCTGCATGGGACCCACCAAAGTCAGTTTATAAGTCAATGTATTATATTTTAATTCGTGGTTTATACATTATAACATTAAGGTAGCTTTATAGGCTACTATTATAATCATAGTACTATCTACTATAGCAATATATATAGTAGGCTATAGCTATAGGCATATGCACACTATCATTGAAACATTTAAGTTCCAAACCCCTTCTTTGCTATCTCTCAGGAGGATAGATCACGTCCACAGTCGGTGATTTATCAACGCTTCTCTCGAGGGACACGTTCTCCCACGTTGTTCCCCTTAGCTCATTAGTATTTATGATCTCCAAAAATACTTTAAACCAAAATCAATGTGGTCAGCTAGAACAGGATCAATCCACGGCCGCAGTGGATCGATCACTTGCAATAGAGATGTCAGTTATGTGCCAGATTTCGTGGTGACATTGACAGTTTGCTCATGCTGCATGGTAAACCAAAAACACGTCATAGGAGTTTGGCATTTTTCATAAAAGCTCATCTCGAGACCTTTGAGTTTGGCTAGCCTAGGCTACATGTCTGCTTGGAATGGGGTTTTCAATGCCACTCCCGCCAAAAATATGTTTTAAAATATGTTTTTTTTTTTTCAACCGAAACTTTCGCTTTTTGTCCCGTTCCCATCCGCAAAAGCCCGTTGGAATTGGTGGAACCTACCTCAGTCCCGGTCCGGCTACACTCTGCCTCGTTCTGATGCTTCTATTTACTTTTTTTCTTTTTTTTCAATTTCCACACACGACGGTTCAGATAGGTTATCGAGTGACAGACTTCTGCGTGCTGTAGATAATTATATTTTGCGGGAGCCACGAGTCATTCATTTCTCCCGCTTTCCGCTCACCCTCCCGCATCCGCGCTCAGCAATTCAACTTCCCGTTAATCACTCTGCGTCGGGTTCCGATTGCAGACCACTGCTCGAGTTGTAGACTACAGATGTACAAAGCAGATGTGCGCACATTTGACTTCAATGACTGTACAGTGAAGTGTCAAAACTTTGATTTGCATAAGTAGAACTATGTGCGAATAGGTCAAATTGTCTGCAAATGAGAAGATTGAAGTCTAAATAAGGTTTTTTTTTAGATGCTGGTACTGTATGCTACAATGTATGAATTATTCAGTAAACTTCTTAAATAAATTTCTGTCACTGAAGTAGCCTACATTTTGCAATAGGCCTATAGCTATGTCGAGGTTCGTCTCACGCAACCAAAACATTGTTTTGTCGCCCTAATGCCAACTAAAGTTTAAACAAAACACACTCATGTTTATGTTATTTGTTCATATGATGTTTATTTGATGCTAATTTTTTATATGTTCATAATAATACTAATAAAACTAAAATTGCTTGGCTACTTGTTTTGTCCTACCAAACGAAAAGTGCGGTAGTTGCTATGGTTACCTCTTCATGGGGATGTGTTTAGCTCACTCTTGACTAACAGCTATAACTTTATTTGTTTCATTTATATGTAAAAAGAACCCAGACCTTTTGTAAGACTTTTTTTTTTGTGGGGGGTTCAAGCCTTAATTTGAGACGTCCACGTATGCGTTGGCAACCCTTTTATTACATAACATTTTAAGTTTATATTTCATGATGTTTACGACCAGAGCACAAATGTCATTTTGGACTTGCTGCTGCTCTGTTCTAGATGATCCCGGTGAGGGAGCAGCACATGATCTCGCGATGAATGAATGAGAATTCGAGAATCTTGCACAAATTTTGTCATACCAACAATAATGGCCGCTGTGCGCAGACTGGGATTCTTATTTAGGAGTTTGCCGTCATCTCCACGGAATGCTCTTTTTCGTTCTCCGGTGAAGGATGGCCGATGTATAGGTAGGGGAATAGCAGTTGCTGCGGGTTTTGCTACCGGAGGAGCGGTGTTGTATTATTATTATTCAGATATGTGCGGATTCAGAGGGAGAAAAGCGCCGAAAAACGGAACGGGCTGTCGGGCTCTGCTGCCTTCACTACCCGCTGTAGCCGCAAAGGAGAAGGTATGACTGTTCCCAATGTTCTCAGTGCCACGTAACTGTTTCCTATTCGTGTTTTTTTTCCTGGCAAGGGTTTTTAATTGTCATGTCGACGCTATGCTACTGCTTGTGGGACAGGGAATGGGATGTTCGTGCTGTAGAGTTTCGTGAGTTGTTTTGCTTGCACAAACAAACATTCTTAATTCTTCGAGAGTATGACAATGCGCATTTGTGTGATGCTGCAGCAGCAAGGGCGCTTTCCCCAGTCATGGTGCTGAAATGACTGCGCACAAAGTGTCTGTTTCAGATCTCACATCCGAGCGTTACGGTTGGTTAAAATACCTATGAACCTGTGCTGTATCATAGAGGCCTGTCAAACAGCACCCTATCAGAATTGAGCTGTCATATCTAAGCACAGAATTCTTTGGCACGTGCATATAAACATATTTTGGGGATTTTTGTACCTTTGGCAGACGGTCAGATTTGGTTTCCATGGACTGACAGATGTTTTGGTCTGACTGTTTCACTTAGAAACTAAATGTTTTCTTGATTGGGCTGGAAATGTTGCATATCATGTTCTTGTGAGTGTGTTACCACATATACCGGTCAAAAGTTTTAGATCAGTAAGATTTTTTATGTTTTTAAATGAAGTCTCTTCTGCTCACCAAGAATGCTTTATTTGATGAAAAAAAAAAAAAAACAGTAATATTGTGAAATATTATGACAATATAAAATGACTGTTTTCTCTTTTAATATATTCTGAAATGTAATTTGAAAGCTGAATTTTCAACATGTTCAATGTTGAAAACAGTCGTGTACCATTTTTTCCCCAAAAATTCTAGAAAGTTCAAAAGAACAGCATTTATTTAAAATGTAATCTTTTCTAACATTATAAATGTATTTACTGTGACTTTTAATCAATTTAACCCATCCTTGATAAATAAAAGTGTTTTCTAATTTCTTTCCCCCCAAAAAAATAAAAATGTAAAAAACCGTTTTCAACATGGATAATAATCATAAATGTTTCTTGAGCATCATATTATAATCATTTCTGTAGGATCATGTGACACTGAAGACTGGAGGAATGATGCTGTAAATTCAGCTTTGATCACAGGAATAAATTACACTTCACTATATATTCACATAGATTCACATAGATCTTACTGATGTAAAACTTTTGACTGGTAGTGTGTGTGTTTATGAAGAGTTCAGATGCAAAAGCCTCTAAAAGCCATTTGAAATTTTCTTCTTTAATGATGATTTTTATCAAACTTGTATATTTAAGTTCAGTAATTTCACTTAAATTGCAAAGATAATTACCTATTAATTGTTATTTAAGTGAAATTACTGAACTTAAATATTGAAGTTTGATAAAAATCATTAAAGAAGAAAATTTCAAATGGCATTTAGAGGCTTTTGCATCTGAACTCTTCATATATATATATATATATATATATATATATATATATATATATATATATATATATATATATGATGTATTCCTGTGATTGCAAAGCTGAATTTTCAGCATCAGCATCATTACTCCAGTTTTTAATGTCAGATGATCCTTCAGAAATCATTAAAATATGCTGATTTGGTAATGAGGTAACATTATTTTTATGATCAATACACATGCACAGCATTTGTTGCATTTATATTTTATATACAGTATAGATGTTAACTGTTAACAAATTTGTGTTTTTTCTTGCCATTTTTTTTTTCTTGCAGGCTCCGATGTTTGATTTTGACGAAGGTGACGTGTACATGTCGTCTCATGAGCATCGTTTCCGTCTCTTCAGCTCAGTGGAGTATGAGGGACAGCTGTACATGACTCCTCGGAACTTCATCGAGTCAGTCACCATGAGTGAGCCCCGCAGTGAGTAACACATATGCTCCATCGAAGCTCAGAGTTATACTTTGTGTATAAAGCTCTTTACTGTAAAATCTTCTCAATTTGCCTTACTTCAAAAAGCATGCAAAATGTTTGCCTTCAAAATGTTTGTCTAGGCCTTAGTTAAATTTGGACATTTAAGTATATATTTTTTTAATTTGCCTTAGATAAAGCATTCTTGGTGTGCATCTTGAGAAAAGAATAAGATATGTCAGTGCAAGTTGCTTTCAGTTAAAGCAGCACTATGCAGTTTTTTTACCTTAACTGAATAGTTTCGGAGTTATTGCAATGGTTATATGACTATTTTCGGGTTGAATGTTGGGCGTCTAAAAGACAGCTAAAACAAGCATTTTAACCTTGTAGATGAAACCGGGTATCAGTATTTATTTGACTCAAAGTAGAATTGTATTCTTTTTTAATAAGTACTTGACGGTCTTGTACTCACCTAATATGTTCTTCTCTAACCATTTAAGGTCAAAGTAGACTTAACTCAGGTCTGATTATGTGCATCATTTCGTTTGTACATTTATTTATTTAGCAGGCACACTTTGATCCAAAGTGACTTACACATGAGGAAGAGAGAGATGTTTAGGTGTCCCTGTTTTACTTATTTACATAAGATTTAAAAAAGAACAATCATATTGTTATTTGAGGGAAATAATGAGTAGTTTCTTTTTCCCCACTACTTCAAAGTTCATATATAATTAGGACAGCAGTGTGAATTAAATGTTTTGTTGCCGTGCCCTAATCTAATAGTATGCTAATTAATAGACATTAGTAATGAAAGTTAGTGGGTCTTAATGGGCCAGATCAAAGCTATTGAAGAGAGAGAGTCACAGAAGTGCTTACTTAGCTATATTAGATCTCTACTGTTGTTTTGTCTTTGAAGTGCATGTCTTGATAATAAATACAATAAATGTCAAAATGTTCTAGTTGACACACCAGGCGTTAATCTTATATAAAAGGAGCATGACATTCATTAATGCTACACCTGCAAAAGTTTATAGTTTGTTCTTGCTCCATGACAGAGTTGTACGATTAATCATTAAAAGATTGTGATTGTGATTTTCTTATTCCTAAATGACAACAATTCGCCTCTATCTATTAAACCTTTGGACAAGTACGATAACAGAAGAACATTCAAATCTGCCGCTGACCCAGAGAAAGCAGTTGTCATGTTTAGATATGAAATAGCTTCTCCAACAGTCTTTTCAACCACACAGTATCATTATTTCTGTTACAATAGTTCATATGGACCCTTTTCACATTTCCAGAGTTCCCAGTGTTAATTATTTTTTTGACTTTAACTTCCAAGGTAATATAAAACAACTACGTATAACGTAATAAATGTGCATTACATTTTTAAAAAATTAAAACTGTACTAGATTTGTGATGTTAATAACTGTGGAAACGCATCCTAAAATAAAAGTATATAGAATCATCTTCTACAAGTAACTTGATGCTTCAAAAAAGGTTTGTATCAAGTAACTTTTGAAAATTTATTTGTCATTGAATCATTGATTCAAAACGGCTGATTCATCCAGTAATGAAACAAATCGTGATTCTCAATTTATCCCAAATCGTGCAGCTCTATAGTTGAGCATGAATAGCAGAAGGGAGTTGTGGTTCTAATGTGATATGTATCATTTGTAAATTTAGTTGTTGCTTCTATGCTTGCAACAATAACGTATGTTCATAATACATACAGTAAATAAAGACACAATCAGGATAGTAGTTGCATTATGTCAGATTATGCTGCATGCTCTTGGCACATGAAGCAAAGCCTGTGGGACGAACTGACCTTGAGCATCCAGCAGAGCTCCATAGGGCTGGTTGCTATGAGAGAGAACAGGACTGTGTAGCCCAGCTCTGTTCCTGTACACTAACTGTATGCTAAAAACAAACAAACAAAACACATAGATATTTTATTGGGAATTTAAAAACCTTTTTTGTTCTTGTTGTTTTTTCTGATTGTTAAATGGCATGAGACCCCTATCCTGATCTTATCTAACAGGCCACCCTCTTTTTTTTTGTTGCTCTCTTTCTCTGGTCATCCTCTTTTCTTAGTCAAAAAACCTTGGAGGTCCCTCAACAAACAGGTGTGTTTTAAAACTATTGCTAGTGCATGCTATGATAGCTCAGTTAAAGGAGTAGTTCACTTTAAAAAAAAAAGCAAAAAAAAACTTTTGCTGATAATTTACTCACCCCCATGTCATCCAAGATGTCCACGTCTTTCTTTCTTCAGTCGAAGGTTTTTGATGAAAACATTCCAGGATTTTCTCCATATAATGGACTTCATTGGGAACCAAACGGTTCAAGGTCCAAATGAGAGTTTCAGTGCAGCTTCAAAGGGCTTTAAACGACACCAGATGATTAAGGGTCTTATCTAGGACCCTTCGAGTAATGACTCGAAAAAAGATGTGTTCCTTTTGATGAACGAGTTTGAACAGGAGAGTCGCGAACGCTCATCACAGCACAGAGCAAGGTGAGCATTTGTGCTTATAAAACTTAAACTTTTTTATTAATTTTTTAAATGGCCGATCGTTTCGCTAGATAGTACCCTTATTCACCGTCTGGTGTTGTTTAAAGCCCTTTGAAGCTGCACTGAAACTCTCATTTGGACCTTGAACCGTTTGGTTTCCATTGAAGTCCATTATATGGAGAAAGTTCTGGAATGTTTTTATCAAAAACCTTAATTTCTTTTCGACTGAAGAAAGAAAGGCATGGACATCTTGGATGATATGGGGGTGAGTAAATTAACAGCAAAAGTTTTTTAAAAAAGTGAACTACTCCTTTAAATTAGGCCTATTTATTTTTTATTGATAATATTTAGGTTTGCATTTCATGGTGTATTTATGCATGCAAATAATGTACAGTCCAGAGATGCTTTTTTTTTTTTTTTACACTGTATGTTTTGTCATGTTTAATAGGAGCTGGAGAAGATCTTGTCCGACACTCCACCAGTTTGGAAAGGAACGTCCAAGCTGTTCCGGAACTTTCGGGAACGAGGTGGGTTTTGAATTTCACCTCAATAATAGAACTAAAACAGCGTTTTTCCACACGCCTGGCTTGTGTTTTCAATTGTTTTCAATGGGAGCGGCACGTTTTTTTTTTTTTTAAATGCTGTGAGCGTAACGAGGCGCTGAGTGTTTTTTCACGCTGAAGCGTCGAGCGCCCCTGCGTTTTTTACTGGTTGCCGAGAGTTGAAAAATATTCAACTTTGGATAAAACGCAGCGCTCATCACTGCCACTTTTTACCCACCCGTCCAATCACAGTGGAGGAGGGGCGGGGCTAATAACACACCGATCAACTGTCACAATATTCTTTCTGTACAACGACATCAATCAGCAGAGCTAACCGAACAACATGGATGTAAAATAGTTTTTAGTATGAAACAAATTATCTGCGAAATAAGTTACGAGTAAACGGTGCTGCGGATATTCTGTATCATAGCAACGAATCGTCTCAACGGAAAAAACGCTGCGCTGCCAAAAAGCTCTCAAGCGCCCAAGCACAGCATCTTCAGCAGAGCGTCTGCTGTTTTCAGCTGGTGGCCACACGGCCTTATTGTCAATTTTAAAAAACTTCTTAAAATGTTTGTGGAAACCATTATACAAATTCTTTTCAGGATTTTTTTGTTTATTAGTGCAAAAGAACCTAATTTTATTTGAAATATAAATATTTTGTAACATTGTCTAAGTCATTACTGTCTCTCATATCAATGTAATGCTGAATATACAGTAAGTATTAATATCTTCTAAAAAAATACTGTATCTTCCTTATCCCATATCTTTGAATGGTAGTGCATCATTATATTATGTAAATCTTGAAAAAAGAAGAAATCACTTTTGATTTTCTTAGTAGTTCTATTCTTAAAAGTACCACGTGGCATTACCATGCTTTTGTTTCTTGTTTGTTTTTGACCAAAATGTCATGACCTTCTTCAAACTATTCATAAACCATGTAAAGAGCATGGTATATGAATACAGTACTCATCGATGTACCTTGAAATTACCAGCTAATAGACAGAAATGGGGCTCAGAATAATATAAAGTTAAATCCAGTCTTTCAGAGTTTTTCTGAGTGATGCTGAATTGCCCTCCTCGCCATTCCCGTCTCTCGTTCATCTTTCTTTCTTGCTCTCTCATTGGGTACCAGTCAAGCACCAGTTAAGCCTAGGCCTGAGGCTTTCACTTCCTGTGAGCACTCCTAAAAATAGCTCAGTTCACTCTCTACGTCTCCCTCTCTCTTACTGTTTCCATTTCCTCCCTCTCATTCTCTCACTGGGACCAGTGCAACATACAATCTCCAGGCAAAATACATGCTTTTGCTTTCTGACCAAAACGACAAATAAAACATAAAAACAGAGTGCAGAATGGCATTATTAAATAAATAAATATTGTTGAAATAACTGCACGAGCGAGCAGTTCTTCAGCAGCACAGCCACAATTAAAGTATTTGCTTGTGGCGTACTCAACAGCACTTGCTCATACCTCCAGCTATTTCCCAGTGGTGATAATTATACGCACACACACACACACAGAACCACTCCACCCTCTTACACTCTAAAAATAAACCTTCTGAATTTTGTTCTTCCTTGTAGTAATCGCAGTTTTTGAAATCATCACCTTAAATTGGCGGTGGTACATTTATCTTGGTTTCATCCAGAAGATGCCTGTGTGCCAGAAGCTTCAGCTTGACTCGGTGTCTGATCTCAAGCTGTGGTAATGATAGCATGCAGAAGTTAATTGAGGAAGCTGTGCTAACGAGATCCGTGAATGTGCTCTGGTCTCCAAGGAGCAGTTTCTAAGAGAAAGCGAACGCAGCGAACGTCATAGTGAAGAACTTGAAGGAAGCATGGGAAGTTCAAAAGTTGCAGGACTATCTTATCCTTATAAAAAGGAATTGAACTCCAAGAACACTATTGATTTATTTATGAGTATGGTTGTTTACTTAAAATTATGTATCAGCAAATATGAATTTATTGGTTTGATAGTTTATTTATTTGTTAGTTAGTTAGTTTGTTTAATTTTGAGTTTTGAGTAATACATTCCAGTAATATGTGTTTAAGTTAGAGCCCGACCGATAAAGGATTTTGAAGGCCGATACCGATACAGATACCGATATTCCGATATATCGGCCGATTTTATTTTATTTTTTCAGAAACGCGCAACAAAACATTAACAGATTTTCCTAACATAGTTATTTGTAGTTATTTATGAGTTTTAACTAAAATAATATGATAAAGCATTTTAAAGAGAAACTTGTTTCTTTTATTGTCACAACAGAACAGAGGAACATCAAAATATCTAAAAATTCTGATGAATAAAATAAGAATTAGTCCCTACATTGCCTTAGCTACCTTATAATTACAATGTCAGGTTAGCTAGTCTATGATGAGCCATAATTTAGCAATAGATAACGTCATACTGCAAATTTTAAAACATACATTTTCAATTTAACAGGCCAAGAAGAGATGATTTAAGCGTGTTTCGTCCGTTTTTAATTTTATTTTTGAAATATTCATTTATCGGCCATTGTAACTGCCGATACCGATAGTTTGGAAAATGTCTAATATCGGCCGATAATATCGGCCGGCCGATAATATCGGTCTGGCTCTAGTATAAGTTAATTTATTTATGAGTATGACTTTGTTTCCGCTTAAAAAAAAAACAGCAAATATATTGTTTTTTTGTTGTTTATTAATTTATTTAATTATAGTATAATTGTTTCCTTAAAATAATGTATTTTTTTCTATAAAAACAGTACATGCTAATTTAGCTTGAATTTACTTTACAACTGCAAATAGTAAAACAAAAAAAAATGCAAACTCTAAAAGAAGTGCTTAAAATAAACTAACCATGCAGTCATGCGTTATGATGGCAAATAGATCGAAATAGAAAATCTTCCTTTTACAAAATGAGAAAACGCATCCCATACCTTTAGTATTTCATAGTTATTTCCCCAAATTAAACAATGTTTGCAAAAATTCTGTCACTTGACCAGCCAAATTAGACATGTACCGACATGAACAGGTTACGTGACACGGCCTCGTCTTACTGTTGAACCTGTGATTAATATCTGATTTCAAGATTTTTTGTTGTTGTTTTTGGGTCCATGTAAAATCTGGTGGAGAACCACTAATACAGACTGTATAAATAGCACTTTTGTACATGTTTTTTTTTATAACAAAAAATGCCACAAATATTTTCCATTACTGATATGCATCCAGATCAGGAACCAGACCTTTCTTGAGAACGATCGGTATGCAAACCCTTAAAAGTATGTATCATCTCGTACAAACACATCGGATTTGGCATTTAAAGTCAATACACCTCACTAGACAATCCATCCTTAAAATTGGGACTGTATTGAACAGGAATGAATGGAATGTAAAACAGCGCCTCTTCATTTAAGGAGCCCTGCGCCAAAACAAAGATTTACTGCATATGTACGCAGCGTATAAACATTAACAAAATGTCTGCAGCTAAAAGCCTTGTTTTACTAGTTTAAAGCAGATTTTTGACATCAATTAATCTGTTTTAGATCCTCAATGATAACCTTTGACCCAGAGTCTTCAGGTCTAACCACAGTGAATTTTAAAGGAGTAGTTCACCTAAAATGAAAACGAAAAATCTTTTTTGTGCCTGTATCATTTTCCATGAAAAAAACATCTATTCCAGATGTTCACATGTCAAAGTTTCAATTGAACATGAGTTTGCAAATTGAATTGCAAATGAGATTTGAGTGCTCTGCCAGAGTGGACGCTTATCAGGGAATAAGTTCAAAATAAGTAAATATACCCGAATCTTGTCTCTTTTGGCCCGAGTTGCTTGTTCAGTGGACTTTGAAAGCCTCTGTATTGCTTGAGTGAGTGTGTGAGACTGCTGGTGTTGGGTTGAATTTTCAGTGTCAGGTTTTTCTCCCGAAGGCTCACAGGCAGTGTCCCGTAACACTCAGTCCACTCACCCTGAACTATCTGTATGCCTGCTACTGTCTCCATGTCCCCCTTCACACAGAAGCTGTGGAGAGGAACACTTTCAGTGGAGGTGTAGGAAAACGTATCCCCTTCTCTCTGCCCTCCCCCAGCGCCTTTACAGGACTTCCATCTTTCCATCAGCCCACCTTCACTTTGTCTCTTTTTTTGCCTTTCTTTTGACTCTCACTCTCTCTGTCCTCCGTACTCTACTTTGCCACTTTTCTCACGAGTCTAACAAAAGCAGGGACAGTTCCCTGTCTAAATGGTGCACATCTCCTTGTCCTGACGGATGCCTCTAGAACACCCTTATCCAAACAGAAGCCTTTGAACGCTACAGCCGGTCACTCACTGTGTCAAAGTCTTCAGCTTCAGTGTGTGGGCCAAACGCGGGGCAAATGTTGCCTAAATGTAGATGGACACTTTAGCTGAGAGGCACCTTTTTAGATGTTATCATCATGAAAGAGGGGATTACTTGTCCTGCTTTTTTTTGAGCAGTAAAAAAAGGGAAAAGGGTATGCGACTCCATCTATCTCTAGAGGCCCCTAGCTTTGAAAATTCAGTAAACATTTTAATCCAAGCTTCAGATGAGCCGCCTCCTGAGTTTTCAGTTTGGACAAAGAGTAAAAAGAAAAAGGAGAGATTATAAAAAGGGAAGACGTGGCCATTTGAAGGTTGTTAGTGTGTTACTGTACATTAGCAGAATGGATGTGACCCTTTGATATCCTTTTTCAGGCATCATCGCTTACACGGAGTATCTCTTTCTGCTCTGCATTCTGACAAGTGAGTATGACCTCTATCTCTCCATCTTTTCTTCCTCTTAACCTTTCATTCTTATCCCATGCTTTAGTTTTCTGTGCCTTTCTCTTTTGAAATCAGCACACTATGCATGTATCCTATTTTAAACATGAATCAAGGATCGTTCTGGTCCATGGATGTTTTATGTCTATAGTGTGACTCAGACTCAGACTCAAGGCCCACCCAGACTCTCTCACCCTCACCCAAAAAAGTTTCGCTACAGCCACATTTTGCTCACTGCACATTTATTAATGTTTTAGACTTTTTGCCAGATATAGGATATAGGATATATATATATATATATATATATATATATATACACACACACACATTCTCATGTGGGTGTAGGCTATATATAGGTTATATATGTATTTGTCTAAGCAGACTACAATTTTTGTCTATAATCATTAAAATCTTTAGTGCTAATTGAATTTTTATTTAGTTTAGTTTAAGTATAAAGTTGACTCAGTTTGTCACCATTGTCGAATTTTGTCTGACTAACAAATTTAATTTTAGTTCTTAAAATAAATTCTAGTGAAATCAAAAAAAAATATATATATTAGGGGTTGTTAAAGAAAAAAGTGACAATTTTCATACACATTTAATAATTACATACGAAGAGTTCAGATGCAAATGCCTTTAAGTGTCATTTGAAATTTTCTTCTAGAATGATTATTTTTATCAAGCTTGTATATTTAACTTCAGTAATAATACTTAAATGGCCATTCATAGGTAATCTTCATTGTCATTTAAGTGAAATTACTGAACTTAAATATATAATCTTGATAAAAATGATCATTTTAGAAGAAAATTTCAAATGGCACTTATGGGCTTTTGCATCTGAACTCTTCATACACATTTATCATCTATCTAGAAACAAATTAGACAAATGTTGCATTATAATTATTGTATAGCAGTATAACTATGAATAATCGTAGCCCAGGTAGTTTTCTAAAAGATTTGATGGGAAATATTGCAGTTAAATTAATATCTCAGACTTTATCTTGGCAAATCTGAGCACAGTTTGTTTCATTGTTGAGATGAAACATTCATGTCTGTGAATAGGGTATTTTCCTCAAGAAAAAAAAAAAATTGAAAAGCAGAAGACTTCAACAAAAGTCTTCATTTGTTCTCCATGTACAGTTTAGGAGAAATAACTGAGATCTAATTTATGATTGTCCATTCGTACCGAGTTGTCTGACTAAGCTAGCATCTAAAAGTAGCTGAGACACACAGTATAAACAGAAATGAACTGCCTAACATGTGTTCCCTCCTCTGCTGTTGCTTGGGCAACATAACAAAGTGGAAGAGGCATGTCGCTCTTGATGGGTTGAAAAACACCTGAAGAGAGTGATGAAAGGAAAAGTGGTGAAAGCAAAAGTGTATTGGAAGTTCTTGGGGTGATAACAGGTTCTTGCAAATGTGGGCCTCACCTCTGATCTGATCTCAGATCTAGCCACAGTGAATGGTTTAACAAATTTTCTGCAAAATGTGCGGTGCTAAATGAGTGAATACATGTATACATTGTTTAATTATATGCATGATATAGCATATTTTTATAAGGGAACCTTTTTTTCACATCTATTCTTCAGAGCCTCATGCAGGCTTTAAGATTGCCTTTAACATGTTTGACGCTGACGGTAACCAGATGGTGGATAAACGTGAATTTCTTGTGGTGAGTGGATTGTAGATTCTGGCCTTTAGAAGTTTGTTTTTTTAAACAATCATCTTGGTTATTTAATCATCCGACTTTATTTATTTGCTTTATTCCTTCTCTATTTCTTTTAATAGTTGCAAGAAATCTTCCGAAAGAAAAATGAGAAGAAAGGAAGAAAAGGAGATGCGGAAAAATCTGCTCAACTGGTAAGTTGATATCAGGTTTTTTGTTTGTAAAACATTTTGTAATCTATTTTTAAGTTCCAGTTATCCCAAATTGTAAATTGAAAGATATAATCGTGTATACAAATGAAATCTTCACGCATTTTCACAAATCAAAAACTACTTAGATAAAGTTCCATATACATTTGTCATCTATCTAGAAACAAATGCTTTACAATAATTGTTTAGCAGTAAGCAGTAAAAAGGTAATCACGACTTTCTTACTTTATAACACATTGGACTTTGGATTTATAACATTGGATTTTATTACTCACAATTGCAAGTTTATATTGTATAAATTATTGTGTATTGTATGATGTAAACTCGCAATTGTGAGAAAAAAAGTTTAATTGTGCTATTAAAAGTTAATATATTTTTATTTATTTTTTATTCCGTGGCGGAAACAAGCTATCATAATAAACAGCATATTTATATTCTAATTGTTACTGAGATGTAGACAGTATCTTATTGGTATGTAAGTTTATAACTCGCAATTCTGAAGAACTGTGAGAATATATAATCTTGCAATTTCGAGTTATAAACTCTGAATTGTGAGATATAAACTCGCAATTGTGAGGGGAAAAGTTACGATTGTAAGATTATATCGCAGAATTCTGAGGAAAAGTCTGATTTGGGAGACATGAACTCGCAATTAGGAGAAAAATAGTCTGAATTGCGAACAATTGTGCGATAAAAAGTCACAATTTCCCTGTTTGTTTAATTTGATTTATCTCATGGCGGAAACAAGCTTCCATATATTGCATTTTCTTTGTCTTTTCTTGCAAAGGGATTTTTTAGAGGTATACATCTATATAAAAGTTACATTTATTGTAGCAAATCAGTAGTGGTCATTATTGTCTAAATAGCCCCCTTCTTTAAAACTGATATTATTGGAGAACAGTTTAAATCAAAGGCAAATCAGTTTGAGGGATTACTACTATCTCTAATCTGTTTCTGTATGCAAACAAGAGGATTTTATGAGATCAACAGAAGTTCAAAGACTTGGGATACAGTCTCTGTCTTTCTCTATTTACCACATTGTCTTTTGTTCCATGTTACTGATGATTCTAATTTAACATGATGCCTCTTTTGTGTAAAGGGAAATATATATTTTGCCTTGACACAATACAACGTTTTATGTCTTGTGGCTTAGTATCAAGAGCATACATGTCATTTGAAATGCTGAAAATGGAGGCAATGATGAATGTCACGTAAATCAAACCTAACATTGGGGAATACACTTTATTTTCAAAATCTTAAGGTCAGAAATGTTGATTTTACTGAGAATATTAAGAAGTTTGGCTTATTTTGATTAGTGTGCTTATCCTAATGTGAGTTTCTTTAGGCTCTTATTAGTTTCTAAAAAGAGAACATTACTGTGAAAAATGTACTAGTGTTGTAATTTCCTTCAAATGTCAGTTTCAGTGTTCGAGGTATAAGAAAAATTACCACTAAGTAGAATTGCTTTTTAGCAACAAATTTGAGCTTATAAGCATTGTTTGATGCTTGTTTGTCAAATTAATATGGATTAAATATTTATTTGTGAAAAACTTAATCAGAGATTATTTATTGTGTGAAGGATCATATACTTTGTTTAAAAATCTGTCAACATATCATTACTAAATTATATACTGTTCTGTATAAACTCACTAAATTTAGCACTCTTTGAAAGCACTTGGTGTGAAATACTGGTACTGTAACGTAATTAGTGGTGTTTGCATCAGTATTTGTTTTGTTCGTACTTGGGGTTAGTAATATGAGCAAACCCCTAACCCTAAAGCCTCGTTCACACCACCAGCAACTTTGTCGCTGAATAACGCTATCTCTACTGTGAAGATGCTTGTGGGTATTCCTAATGCTGTCGCTCTAATGTTGTTGGTAGACTACACATCTGGCCATATCTTTAAGAAAATGCAATCACAAATAATATACAAAACTAAGATATCCTTCTAATTTGACTAGGAAGTAGACTTAAACGAATTAAAAGTGGCATCTGCTGTTGAAGAGTGTTGTGATATTAAGCAGTGCTCAGTGCATTAAATCATTAACCAGGTTCACGCTCATTCAATCTCAATCATTAAACTCAATCAATTAAACTCAATCATACTGTCAGAAATTATTAAAACGTCACTTGAATTATTTGACAAATAATAAAACATTTTGGCCCTACTAATCATCATAATTCATGATAAACTGTAATATGAACTGCAGCAGTGTTAAACTGCTCACTGCATCATATATTAATTAACACACATACACTCTCAGAAAAAAAGGTACAAAAGCTGTCACTGGGGCTGTACCTTTTCAAAAGGTAAACTTTTGTCCATTTTAGGTGCTAATATGTACATTTTAAGTGTTAATATGTACATTTTAGGTGCTAATATGTACATTTTAGGTGCTGATATGTCCATTTCATGTGCTAATATGTACATTTTAGGTGCTAATATGTACATTTTAGGTGCTAATATGTCCATTTCGGGAGCTAATATGTACATTGTACGTCCTAATATGTACATTTTAGGTGCTAATATGTACATTTAGGTACTAATATGTACATTTTAGGTGCTAATATGTACATTCTAGGTGCTAATATGTACCATTAAGGTACCAATATGCAACCTTTGGGTACAAAAGTGTACCTTTCGAAAAGGTACAGCCCCAGTGACAGCTTTCGTACCTTTTTTTCTGAGAGTGTACTATCAGAAGCCACTTTTTCACTGTCAAGCCAAACGGTTCTCATCCGGGCCAGTTGGTTTCGCTTAGGGTTTCATTTTCCACTGTGGGGCTGATAACGGCCGCACTTTGTAGTGTAATACAAAAGTGTCGGTCGTTGCCTTGGTAAAGCATGAGTTTACTGACGATATGAGATGTAAATAATGATCACGATATGAAGGATGGTCAGATATTTCTTTTAATTGTATTATTATGTGTTTACGTTTCTCAAATAGCATGCCAGAGAGAAACGGCTAGGCAGGCAATAGACAAGTTACCAATCCTAAATTGCAACGTCACTAGACAACTGTGCTGAGAATTCCAGGCTGAGAACGGTTTGTAATTGTGCCGTCCCATAAATGGAAACACAACCGGAACCATTTCGTACCATTCTAAGAACTGTTCGGCCTGACTGTGGAAAAGCGGCTAATGTATGGATTCACTGACTGCCGACAGTTTCTTTTTCTCGCCTCAATTTTATTATGTGTTTTATTTTGTTAACTCATATAAATACTCCGAAACTCTGTCCTGTCTTGCCTGTACTCGAGACGGTCTTCACTCCTATAGTTTGTTGCTGCTCATTTACTTAAAGGAGTAATTCACTTAAAAAAAAAAAAAAAACTTTTGCTGTTAATTTACTCACCCCCATGTCATCCGAGATGTCCGCGTCTTTCTTTCTTCAGTCGAAAAGAAATGAAGGTTTTTGATGAAATATAATAGACTTATATAATCGACTTCATTGGGAACCAAACGGTTCAAGGTCCAAATGAGAGTTTCAGTGCAGCTTCAAAGGGCTTTAAACAACACCAGACAATGAATAAGGGTCTTATCTAGGACCCTTCCAGTCATGACTTGAAAAAAGATTTGTTCATTTTGATGAACGTGTTCGAACAGGAGAGTCACGAACGCTCATCACAGAACAGAGCAAGGCGAGCATTTGTGCTTATAAAACTTTTTTTTTTTTTTATGAGCGATCGTTTTAACACAGTCTCATCCCAAATCGTCATATAAATAACTTAACCCATAGGTTTAGGGTTAAGTTTAGGTATGGGGTAGAGTTAGGATCCCATAACCTCATCTACCGACGTTTAAGGGGGCCCTAAAAAGGCGAATATTGACGTATGGTCAAAAGACGTCCCAAAACGTCAGTTATATGACGATTTGGGATGAGACCGGGTTGATCGTTTCGCTAGATAAGACACTTATTAATCGTCTGGTGTCATTTAAAGCCCTTTGAAGCTGGACTGAAACTCTCATTTGGACCTTGAACCATTTGGTTCCCATTGAAGTCCATTATATGGAGAAAATCCTGGAATGTTTTCATCAAAAACCTGAATTTCTTTTCGACTGAAGAAAGAAAGACGTGGACATCTTGGATGAGATGGGGGTGAGTAAATTATCAGCAAAAGTTTTTTTTAAAGTGAACTACTCCTTTAAAATTAAAAACTTTTGTCGTGTGTCTCCCATTGCTTGACACACCTACATTCTGTCACCAGTGGTCACTGTTGCTTGAAAATCGCTTGAACCCTCCATTGAAAATGAATGGAATCATGTCGCTTTGTAGCTGCGTGCCGCTGGCGGTGTGAACGAGGCTTCAGTGTTAAACTTTAGCACATAAAGCATAAACATTAATACCTCAAATCATGCAGGTTGTCGAAGACAAGTAATGTTATATCTAGGAATGCACCGATATTAAAATTGAGGCCAATAACGAAAAGCCAATAATAAATGCATTAATTTTACTGCCAGATGACAAATTGGGTTATAAACTGATTGGTGTGCGTTGAACGAGGGACCCGAGCCATATCTTGGGGTCTTTTGACGTGAGTCCTAAAGCCTCCTCTTAGCAACACCCTGGCATTCAGAACTTAGCAACCGCAAAACAACGCCCTAACAACCAACTACAACAACCTAACATCATAATGGCGAGTTTTGCAGAGGCAAGCACTGCTCACATTTTCTTTAGAAAATGTACAAGTCTTGTTATATATGAGATGCTGAAAATCCCATATATATATATACCCTAAAGAGTACAATTGGCCATCCTCTGTAAACATCCTCTAGACTGAATTTGTTTTTGTGTGCATTTGGTGCATAACCCTTCTTATCTCATTCACATGTCCAGTTTATCAAGGGCTGTCTGAGAGGGAGCCAGTTGTATTTCATCCCCTCTTGGAAGCTTGCGAAAGTGTGCCAACTGTCCTGTAGTGAAACCACTTTCTACTTTTTGCATGTTTAACCTGTGTCTTTGTCCATCTCTTCTTATGTGGTTCTCTCCTTCCTCTCCTCTTCCGCATGCTGTGACCTCTCCTCTCGTCTCTGTGTAGAGTATGCAGCTCTATGGATATCAGGTTGCCCCCGTAAACAGCGTATGTATCACCCCCGGCCCTCTGACCTGTGAACTATAACCTCTGTGTAAATCTTGAAATCATGGAAGGAATGATGGGAGAATGAGAGAATGAAAATGAGGAGGGAGGTGGAGTGGACCTCAGAGGTCAGAGAGCATGTGGGTGTTTTGCCACAATCAGTCTAATTTCATTCTTATTGATTTTTTTCTTTTCCTTTAACCACAACGTGTCAGTTACAAACTTCATCAGTGGGCTATAAAGAACAGGTCTGGGTAGTGTAGTGGGTGGAGTTGTTGGTGGAAAATGTGTTTTCTATTGAGCCAGCTCTGGAGTCTTTCACATTCACTTACATTAAATCATTTAATTACTTCTCTCTCCCTCACTGACAACCGCAAGAAAGGAAAGATCACAAATAAGATGTTGAGATTCAGTTTCGTTTCTCCTAGACAACAATGAGATTATAATGGACATACAAAGTCAGATATTTCAACTCAAATATTTTTCTTCTGAATTCTTTCAAGACCAAATTTTTAAACACAAAAAAGATAACATAAAGACTAAAAGATAAAATCAGTTTTAAAATATTTCTATTTGTTAAATAAAATGAAAAGACAGGTTTTTTTAAATATATATATATATATATATATATATATATATATATATATATATATTCAATATTGATAATAAGGTTATTAATATTAATTTATATTAATTTATATTATGTGTCTTGGTAACACTTATTTTACAGTGTGTTACATGTTACATTAAGTTACTATATTAATTACTATAAATTGTGCTTAATTGTATGGAATAACCTTATAGTAAGTACGTTAATTATTATTACACAGTACTTGTATAATCACACTGTTACAAAAACACCTTAAAATAAAGTGTAAACGGTGTCTTTAACTGCTATGTACTGACATCAAACATAAGTACAATGTATACTTATTGTGTTAATGTATTACAAAACACTTTTGCTGCTATTGAGGTGGGATATGGTTAGGGACAGGTTTAATGGTATGGTTAGGTTTAAGGGTCAATTAAGAGGTATTGGAAAGATCGTCAGTGTAATTATCGATGCAATTACTGAAATTATTTACAGCTCTAGTTATTTTTAGGAATTTCTTAAAAACAAGTACAATGCAAATACTTTTACAATAACTGCATTGTATCAAATGATTAATGTTAACATCTATGTGATTAAATGTTAGCAAATAATAGTTAGACACTTAATATAAAGTGGGGCCGATAAGAAATATTACTCAACCACCGATTGAGCATATTACAATTTCTAAAGGATCATGTGACACTGAAGACTGGAGTAATGGCAGCTGAAAATTCAGCTTCACGGGAATAAATTATATTTTAAAATATATTGAAATAGCAGTTAATAATATTTCACAAATGTAATTGTTTTTATTGTATTTTTTATCAAATAAATGCAGCCTTTGGTGAGCATACCTCTTTGAAAGGTAATAGTCTATACTATTACGGTGTAATAAAAATTGATTGATTTAATTTTTTTTTTTTTTTTTACCTGTAACGATATTGGAAATATCAAATTTGTTGACACTGAAAAAAATGAAAATATAAATGGGGATATGTCAAAAAAACAACAACAAAAAAAACCATTACAAACGATATTTTTAAATAGATTTTCTTATTTAAAACATCCCTGAATGTCTCCTAGTGGACAATTTTGTCCCCATACAAACTGATACGTCAATCAAACGCATGGTCAACTCAAGTACAAACACAAACATCTATACAAGAGTTTTCATGAAAGCCGTCCTGAGCTGGTGGTCCTTTTTTCTGGTTATGTGGTGTTTGAAGAAAGTCATTCTGTATATCTGTGAATCAAATACAGAATACAGAAAGAGTAAAAGACCAGCATTGTCTAATAAAGTGGTTCCAGGACTGATGAGAGAAATCCATTTCCTGTTTTCGGTGTCACTTTTAGTCTCTCAGCCTCTGTATTCAATAAATCTGTACACAATAACTGAGGATAATTCATTGAATTATTGAAAATGCACACACTGCCAGGTTGTGAAGTGTTCATGCAGTCATTTCCAATTATTCACCTGTTCAAAATCAATATTTTTGCTTACAACATGGTTAGTCCATGCATTTATCTAAAAAAATGTTAACAGTTTACAATAAGGTTCCTTAGTTAACATGAACTAAGAATGAACAATACTTCTTCAGCATTTATTAATTTAAGTTAATATTAATTATAACATTTACTTATTAAAATTAAAGGTTGTATTTATTAACATTAGTTAATGCACTCTGAATTAACATGAACAAACAATGAACAGCTGCATTTTTATTAATCAATATTAACAAAGATTAATGAAAACTGTAACAAATGTATTTCTCATTGTTAGTTTATGATTGTTAATGCATTAAATAATGTTACAGTAGCTAATGAACCGTATTGTAAAGTGTTACCAAAATGTCATCCCCCCTCCCCCCAAAAAATATATTTATTATGCCAGTATATTTAAAACCGAAATATTTCAAAAGTATCTGAAAAAACAAACAAACATGAATTGATATGCATCTGTAAACAAATTTGAAACTATATTCCATAGCCGTGCAGTTACAGAAAATATACTCATAATCAAGAGTTGTGATATAAACTGAATTCTGTTAGTGAATTATTTAGTGAACCATTTCACAGATTATTCTGTACCTGGTATATTTGCACACTATGTCTGATATTTAAAACCTTCTCCAATCTTAGTTAATCTCCCAGATTATTGATCACTCACATTATGTAACCTCATACAATTAGCATTTGGCTAACATCATCTAATCCCCCCCCCCCCCCCTCCCAATCTTCATATTTCTTTATAGTATATTTGATTGGTTTTAGTTGAAAGGACTGAGAGACCACCCGACACATCCTCTATTAAACCCTTTCTATATAAACTAACATGATGACAGCTTTCCATCTCATGCTAACCCCTCTGCAGGTGCTAAAAAAAGAGAATCAGGAGTTTGTGCCCAGGAGCTACTGGGACATGCTGAGACGTGGCGCGAGCCAAGCCCTGTTTTCTGACCTGGCAGAGGTACAGCCATAGTCCTCTGTCCTCCTGTCTCATCCCATGTTTTTATTCGTCCCTAGCCATCCCTAACACAGTGCTCTCACCTGAAAAAGGTACATCGTAATTCTCATTCATCCTTCCTGTTTCAGCATCACAACCCGCCCTATTCACCATAACCTTATAACACTGGTCATTGTCATTTAATGACCTGCGATTGTCCCTCTGTTTATTTTGATTATTTTCACCCCCTTTTTTTATGAATTTTATACTTAATTTTTTTTTTCAACTGTTGATCTTCTAGTAAATCTGTTCCAGGTGCTTCACTCAAAAAAAAAAAGAAAAAAAAAATTATATTAAAATCAGTATCTTTGTCCTGTTTTCCATATAAAACATCTGAACATATAAATTCACCAAAATGGTGTTGTTTTCTGAGAATGTCTTATAAGATTAAAAGAAAATAAGTCTTGAATTCCCTTTAATATTTATACTTTCATTTTTTTTTTTTAAATTTTATACATTTTTATGTGCTTTTTTCATTTTAATTATTATTTATTATTACTATTTAGGTTTAATTTATTTTAGCTATAGTTTAGTTTTTATGTATCCAATTAGTAATTTTAGTGTGTATGTATGTTTACATATCTGTGTATACACACACATATAAAAGGAAGTTTTGATATTTTACTGGAAAACAAGAAAAATAAAGATTTAAGAATTAAGAATATGATTTTAGTGTTGCAAAGAATTGCTGTATTTTTTTAATCATTTTTGTAATTTCAGCTTATCGTTGTCTCTGTGCAATATTCGTGTATAATTGACTGCGAGTCTGCGACTAATACAACACAATATTGCTCACAGCTGCGAGGCACGTAAAGCCCTTTGTTTGTACACCGATTCCGAATATGGCTGCTCATCCTGATGGTGTGTTTGTGTTCTGATGGCTAATAGAGGGCGTCTGTAGGAAGCAGTAGTTTAATGATTGTGGAGAGCTGTGTGCAAATGCCCTGTATTTACTTAGTCTGTTATTCACAATGAAAGGGTATTTTCAGCTTGGCTTCCTCAGATGACACAGCAGTTAGACAGGTCTGTTTGTCTGAGCTGACAACTGCAGGGTATCAGACATTGTGTATCTGTGGACTAAAGGGGGCATGCTAGCATGTGTGGAAGTGTGATTGGGGTTACTCATCTCAGAAGTCGACAGCAGTAATCACTGTTTTTACCGCTGCGTTTAGATCAAAGAGTAAAAGGCCTCGGGCCTTGTCTAAGTCACACCGTGGGCCTGGCTGTGGTGTTACATGTAATGATGACCTCACATTAATGGTTTCCTGTAACCACAGTGTTGTCATGTCACACTTCCAGCAGATTGATGATGAAATTGTCTAATGGGGGAAACAGCTATGTTTTAGATAAAGGAAAGGTATTCATTTTTCAATCCATCAGTTTTAATCACATGCCTTTTTTATGACCATATTTATGACCATAAGCAAAATAATGGTGTTGAATACAAAAACTCATAAGCAGAGATACCAAGGGGGAAAAAAGCTGTTTTTTTTTTTTTTTTAAATAAGAGAAAAAATAGTGGATGTCCACACACTGGACTTAAGCTCCAGATAAAATAAAATTAAAGCTTTAAAAACAAAACAAACAAGTGCAACATTTTAATTTTTGGAATTGATCCATTCCAAGTCCCATAAAACATTTTACAGATCTAAAGTTGGTGCAGATTCCAACAAATCTAACATTTGCTGACATTTATATATTTAAAGGGCTACTCCACTTTTTTTTTTTTGGAAATTGGCTCATTTTACAACTCCCCCAGAGTTAAACAGTCGAGTTTTACAGTTTTCGAATCCATTCAGCCGATTTTCTGATATTTAGAAGAATATCAGTAACCAGACAGTTTCTGGTCTCATTGACTTCCATAGTAGGAAATAATATATACTATGGAAGTCAATGAGACCAGAAACTGTCTGGTTACTGATATTCTTCTAAATGTCAGAAAATTGGCTGAATGGATTCAAAAACAGTAAAAATCGACTGTTTAACTCTGGGGGAGTTGTAAAATGAGCCTATTTCCAAAAGAAAGTGGAGTATCCCTTTAAAACTACAATCCATTTCCATATATTGTCAGTATGGATTTGCACCATGTTGGTCATAAAATACTGTATATAATTCTCCTCCATCCAACACTTACTGCTGTTTCCAGCAGAAGATTTTTGCACAAAAATTGAGCACATACAAATGTTGGATGCAATACTTTTTTTTCAAATATTTTCAGTATTTAATGAAATATATGAGTATGTGATGCTGCCTTTTAATTTAGCTTTTAGTAGACACCATTTTTGCTGTCTATATATATATTTTTTTTGTATCATCCTTTGGGAATATGGTTATTTTGTACATAAAATAAATATGCTCTATTTATCGTAATTGTGACATTTTATTTTATTATTTTAAATGGCATTTCATATTTTTTGAAACAGGCTTCCATACCGTTGGGATCAAACAGTAACATTTCCACCTTATATTAATAATCAGACCTATCAGAACAGTTTTACAACTTTGATTTATTTGTTTGTTTGTTTGATTGATTGCTATTTTTTTTAACATTGTGTTGATACAACGCCAAGTATGTGCAATATGTCTCTGAAACAATCGGGCTGGTGAAACAGAATCATTCTTTCTCTCTTTATAACTTTCCTCTGATTGTATCTTCATGGATAGGATTTTAAGCTAGAGGTACAGCAGTGGCATGGACTTGCATTCTGGCTCGCTTCATTGCACAGAGGCCTGTAACCGGGGACAAAGAGATGTTTGGAGTTTATGCCTGGTTTTACCTAGTTTCAGCATGATAGGCTCCTCTTGCAGATGAGGGTGAAGCATGGGTAGAGGAAACAATACAACCTAATCTGGCCTTGCACCTTTCAGCCACCTTCGAATGCCATGCCACTTTTTTTGTTGTTGGTTTTACTGGCGAATGAACGTCTTTTCCTGAGCCCCAATGAAAAAGCAATTTTGACACTTGTAAGACCACTCAAATTGATTGAGTTTTAAAAAACAGAAGCTTCTGTCCAGAGAAGGAAAAGTGAAATCTGCTCACATGTGTGCATTTCTTTCACAAATCTCTGCAGATAGTTGCCGCATAAATGCATGGGATGTGGATGCTTTGTGTGTTTTTGCTGTCATGTGTTTGTTTATGTCCTGTACCAATGTCAACCCCATTTACACCTGGTATTAATTTCCTATGACTATCAACAATTGACTCCAAATGGGTTTCTGAATGGCTCTTTTAAACACCATTCAGGGGTAATTGAATATACCAGGTGTATACAGGGTCTATGTATGTACACAACTGGCATGTTTGTGTGCATTTCATTGCATATACATTTGTTTGTGTGTCTGTTTCAGTCTAATATACAGTCTTTATGCCATTCTCACTCACTAATGGCATAAAGATCTGCATGTCAACTTAGAACATGTCCTCTGTGGGCTAGGGGAGACAATATAAATGGATGCACATTTTCAGGCACTGGATGGCTGGTACTCTGAATGGCCCGGCAAACCTTTGAAGGACTGCTTTCTTATTCCAAAAACAGCTGGCTTTTGTTATAGTTTCTTCTTTCTCGTTTTGCTCTCTTTACCACCACTCCTCAATCGCAGCGTGCCGATGAGAACATGACGATTGACACCACTCTGCTTGTGCACTTCTTTGGCAAGAAGGGGAAGGCGGAGCTGACGTTTGACGACTTCTACAGGTATGACGAGTTGTGTGTAAAAAGCTTATTCATCCTTATTCATCCACTAGACATGGAAAGATACATAAGAAATAATGTAGAAGGTATGCTGAAGATTGTTAACAGCTTGTGATGTTAGATAACAGGATGTGATGTGATTAAATGACAAAAATGTATTAAAGTTTGGGGTTGGTAAGATGGCTCAACACAGTGGAACAGTAATAGTGAGAAATATTACAATTTAAAATGACAGTGTTCTGTTTTTAAGAAATGTATTTATTCCAGTAATGGTAAAGCTAAATTTTCAGCAATTTTCATTACTTCACGTGATCCTTCAGAAATCATTCTAATATGCAGATTTGCTGCTCAAGAAACATTTTTCATTAAGTTGAGAACAGTTGTGTAATACTTAATATTTTTGTGAAAACAGTGATACATTATTTTCAGCAATTTTTGGATATATAGAAAGTAAAAGAACAGGATTTATTTGAAATAGAAACCTTTACATTATGATTTTACTATTATCAATGTTTTGTTTTGTCACTTTTGTTCAATTTGATGCATTCGTGCTGAATAAAAGTATTAATTTCTTTCAAAAAATTCTTACTGATCCAAAATTTATGAATATTGGTAATGTAATTTGTTATAAACAGTCTCTATAAGTGACAGGACATTTTGTGTGTACTTCTAGCAATGGATAGCTTTTTTTCTCACATATATTGAGGCAGAAGAAAAAAAAATCTCATTGAAATACATAGAATTACATACAACGCCATGCATATTAAATCTAATATCATAAAAAACATATTGCCATCATAGAAACCACCTGCAATACACCCTAGTAACAACATAGCAACATCCTGGCACACAGGCCCGACTCCAGCTGACATGCAAGGTGGGCCGGAGGTGTTCTGTTAACAGTATGAATGCCATTTTTATTTTTCCTCATAACAGATTTCGTAACAATTTTGTAATTATAGATTTCATAACAAAAGGGGCAGGCTTTGAAAGGGACAATTAGTAACCCAGCTATACTATGTTTAGGAGCACACATTATATTGTTTTATGCTTCCATTTAGAAAATTCTGTCACAAATTAAATATTACAATTTTGTTTAATGCTTCAGAATTAATATCACATGTCAAATATTACCATTATAAATGTATGTTTTAGGCAGGTAATAAAATGCTTCAAAAAAACACACAAAAAATATTTAATTATTATTTCACTATAGCAGAATGTAGTAAAAAAACGGAACAAACTCAAATTTATAAGAAAACGATCATTTATGATGAGCCATTGAATTATAATAATATAATAATGCTAATAATGCTTTATGTTTCTAATAATTCAATGACACAGAGTTAGTTATTCCACTTATATGCTATGGTTACCAAGCCTCGAGACACTGTTCATACGTTTCATTTCAAGACACTTGTCAGGTTCTTGTCCATCTCTCTTGTGTGTAGGTCTAATTTCTTACCCAGCAAACAACTTTAGGTTCTGAGAACGTTCTGGGAACGTTAGTTGTTGGTTCCCAGAACATTCCTAGAACTTACCCTTGAGGGAACGTTCCCGGAACATTCTCCTTACCTTATAAAAATGGAACCTAAAAATAACCTACATGGAACGTTCCTATAATGTTCTTGTTTGGTTCCCCCCAAAAAAATTAAACCTCATGGGACCATTCGGGAACATTAGGGGAATGTTCTGTTTTTGCTGGGTAGGCATCTCATCCCAAGCCTCCGTTGCTAATTCCAAAACATCATTTTAGAGCTAGTAAAGTAGACTTGAACTATTGATATGCAAACCACTGCAGTTATTAGAACTTTCTGTCTCTCGAAAGTTTTCGGCAGCTGTGTCTCTACTAATAGTAAAGCTGAAGTTTAACTGCTTCAAAAACAGCGGTGTTACCACCTCACTAAATGTCATGTTTTGCAGCTGTGAAACTATTTTATTGATAAAGTTGTAGGATAGTGCTTACAACAAGGATCCTGTGGTTTTGTGTTTATGGGAGAGAGGTAATTTTGTAAAAGGTTGTTATTTGGTGTGGGGTCATGCCCACCCTGGCTCCCTTGTGGAGCAAAATGCAACAATTGGGCAAAAATTCTTTAACTCTTTTTGCGGTCATTGTTCTTTCAGATTTATGGATAACCTGCAAACTGAGATGTTGGAGATTGAGTTCCTGACCTATTCCAAAGGCATGACCACCATCAGTGAGGAGGATTTTGCACGAATCTTGCTTCGCTACACTAACGTAGAGGATATCCGCAGCTATCTGGAGAATGTGCGGCAGTGCATACCAGATGAGAAGGTAATGAGTAATGTCACCTGGCTGCTAACTAACAACTGTGACACCCACCTCCCCCAAGCTCCCACTTTTACCCCTTAAACAGACCCATCTTACCCCTCTTCTCAACAGCTTTACATGTACAAGAAGGTTACTGGTTCAAATCTCACTCTCAAATTCCACAAATAAATGTATCATCTTAAAAATACTACAACAAATACATTTTGTCCACTCACATACAGTACATTTGTTCCATGTCTATAATTCTGTGATCCAGCCCCAAAATGCACACATTCCCACACGTTGAGTTGTCATTCACCCTTGAGTTTGACACTTACATGTAAACTGCCATTTAGTCTTATAGTCCCTCTATTCTCTCCTCTCCACAACACATGCGACTCAACCCTTTTAAGCTGAAGACATCTTCCTTTATATTAATATGTTGATTTAAGAACCAAGTGTCAAACCCACAGTTTGCAGCAAAGTGGAACTGGACTTTCCCAGACTTTGTTGTTTTAATATCTTGTTTTTAAACATAATATCTTGACACAAATGTTAAATTATGTGTCTCTTTGTTGCATGCCACTATTATGTCAATTTAATTAGTTCTTGAAAAAAAGGCTTTGTTCAAATGGCACATAAATCCGATTTTTAGGATTGACTGTCATTTTGTAAGTAATGAAATCTGATCCGTCAATGTCCAGTATATATACACTGATAAATGAGTACTGTTGTAATGATGCATTTGCTACAGTAAAGAATACATGTAAATTAGTAATATAAGCACTGGAGTTATAACTGTATTCCACAGATTAATAAATACGCTGTCCAAAATCACTCACCTGTAGTCTCGTCTCATATCAGCTATATCAAAATGCCAACCGTTTTATTAAAGAAAGAGTGGGTGGAAATGTGTGAATTCGAACAGTTATAGACAAATGATCCAGTGTGACAACTAAGACATGACATGAGATATAATAATTGATTTCCAATCACCTTTGAATGAAAAAAAAAATAAATAAAAAAACTTGATTGTTGTTTGCGGATTACACAAATTCCAAATGTATCTGAGATGGATCCACTCTCCCCAAAAATTGATTTTTGCTACCTGCCTGAACAAGGCCAAAGATATTTGAAAAAGCATGCAAAACTTAATGAACATAATCAGACTTTTGAATTGCTGTATGCAATTTGAATTGTAATGCTGTATTATGGCATGATTGCTATTAAAATATATTAATATCTTTACTAACACAGAAATAATGATGATGGAGTCGAAGAAGGTCTTGTTAAGTGCACAAGTTGCAGAGCAAGTTCCAGCTCTGTTACAGTGTACAAAAACTTCCTGTATTCTCTCTGTTATCTCTGTTTATCACACACTGGAAGAAACCAAAGGTTTGTTCCTGCCGGAGTGATCCGTCGCCCCGCAGTCCTTGATCCGATTGTGTTTTGATTTGTTATGCCCTCCGTTTTGTATTTCAATTGTTTTTCCTTCTCTTTGATCTTGTGTTATATGTTCAAGAAAGTAAATTCACATTTACTTTCAACCAGCTAAAATGATCGTGTTCTGAGAGACCTTCCAACATTTTTACAAATTTATATACTAAGATATACAGTGGCTCCCAAAAATTATTTGGTCACTTCATCCATACTTAAAATGTGAGAAACTTCCGTAAAATGTTTCTACCTACAGGTCTACCCACCTGCCAACCTGTCTGCCTACGTGCATGTCTACCTACCATTCAGTGTTGTTTTTGGCAGCCCTTTTAGTTTTAGTCGTAGTCTTTTGAACGAAAATGATTTTAAGTTTTAGTCACAATTTTAGTCATTTTAGTCAACGAAAACACAAAATGGTTTTAGTTAATTTTTAGTCAATTTTAGTAAAAAAAAGTAGTCTTTAACAAATTAATTTAGGTTAAAAAGTATTGGGAATGGGCTTAGGTTTGATAGGTTGTAGCAAGTGTTGCAATCCATTAAACAACAGCTTAAAACCTTTTCAAAATAAACTAGACTTTCTTATTGATGGAGAAGCAGTGCTACCATTGCCATGCTGTACTTCATTGTCACATTGGGCAGAAACCGTCTATTCCCTATATTTCAAGTTATAGTTTTTCCATGAATATTAAATGCTATTTTTAACAGTAATCACAGTAATAAAGGAATGGTTTAAAGTTTAAACAGCAGAAATGACATGCATTGTGAATGTCAGACTTATCATTTTCGTTCCGTCTCATCTCGTCAACGAAATCTCGAAAACCACTCCTCATGTTTTCATCGTAGACAAAAAGTGCGTCAACAAAATCATTTTGTTATCGTCATCACTGATGAAAACATCATTGCTACCATTCTGTGTACCCACCTGTCTAGCTACATGTCTACTTGTCTACCTAACTGCCTGTCTGCCTATTTGCATATCTACCAACCTACCAACCCTGCCATACCTACCTCCCTGTCTGCATCCCTACCTACAGGCAGAGATGTATAGTAACGAAGTAGAACTACTTAAGTACTGTTCTTAAGTACTAAAATGGTGTATCTGTACTCTACTAGAGTATTGTTTTTTTCTCATACTTCTACTTTTACTTCAGGAGATATTTTCGATGAATTTAATACTTTTACTTCGATACTTTTTTTTAGTATTCTGCTAGTTACTCGTTACAATTATAAAAATTTTACGAATCATTCGTTGCAAGTTGGCTTTCATGCTGCCTAAAACTCACGCCAGTTTTATAAGGTAATGGTATTGCTTGACACACACATTGACAACTAATGCAGGGGTTGTCCTGCAATGAAATTTTTTTGGCGGCTGCCAAAGCATATTTGTATCCCGCCAAAGCGCCTTATTTGATTGCTAGTTCAAACTTTTGACTGCTTTCTTTAATAAAAATTACATGACACAATACTTCTACTTTTACTTTTAATACTTAAGTAGTGAATTTTAAAATAAACTACTTGCAATACTTAAGTACAAAAAATGTTGAATACTTTAGTACTTCTACTTAAGTGTGGTGCTTAAAGAGCACTTCAACTTCTACTCAAGTCACTTTTTTGATAGAGCACTTGTACTTTTACTCAAGTCTGAGTTTCTAGTACTTTATTCATCTCTGCCTACAGGTAAACTTGTCTACTTACCTACCAGTCTACATGTATATAGATCTCCTTGCATACCTACCTGTCTACCTGTTTACCTCCCCTACTTGTCTAGCTACCTACCTACCAACATCCCTGCCTTCCTCCATACCTGTCTCCCCACCCATCTACCTGTCTGTCAGTCTGTAGTGTATATAAAGAAATCCCAAATACTTTTTAAGTGAAGTGTCCAAATACTTTTTCGCCCACTGTATTTGTGTGGGTTTGGTGTGTGTATGTGCTTGGGGCAAAGTTTGTGTTTGAAATCAGATTGTCATGCTGCCCCTCTATAGAGGGTCACCTGATGTAGGTTTCTCCATGCCTGACTGCTTTCTTTTAGCTCTTTCCCAGTCCCATCTGAGGGATCTGTTTGTGTTGAGGGTATCAGGTTTTGGGGCCCCTTTGAGCAGTTTGTACATTTGGCTAGAATGACTTCACCCCCTCTCGAATTCCCACAGAATAGACCCTAAACTCACTTGTATGGCATTTTATGGTTTTCCACCATAAGTCCTCAACACAATCAAACAACAATTCAGCTTTAAACTTCACATAAATCCTGACCTCAAAACAAGCTCTCAGTTAAACCTAATGTGTAACTAGAACTAAAAACTCAGCAGAGAGGTTTACATGGATTACCATAGCTGTGACAACCCTTTCCTGTGTTTGTTTAGGGTATTTTCTACCTCATTACCCTTTATCGTCTTCTATAACCAAAACGCAGGTCTGTGTCAATACATCTTGACACCCTCAGGTGAAAGATTTAATCATAGATATGGTTTGACAGACAGGAGGATACACTGCAGGATTCTGTGCATTAAATTTAAAAAATGGAAAATTGCACATCTTCATGTCATACTAATATGATTTTCTTTCTACTGTGGAGCACAAAAGAATATATTTAGGATTTTGTCTTAAAGTTCTTCAAAATATGTTTCACAGAAGAAAGAAATGCAGAGCTGGGACGACATGAGGGTGAATAAATGATTGCACAGATTTCATTTTTGGGTAAACAATCCTTTTTTAAATGTACAGTATTGTTCAAAAGATTGGGGTCAGGAAGGGTTTTTTTTCTGAAATAAATTAATACTTTTTATTATTAAGGACTAATTTAATTGATCAAAATTGCCTAACGACATTTACATTGTTACACACATTTCTATTTCAAATATTAAGCTGTTTTTCACATTGATAATACTTTTTTTTTTTCCATCAGGACCAAATCAGCTTATTATAATGATTTCTGAAGGATCATGTGACACTGAAGACTGTGGTAATAATGCTGACAATTCAGCTTTACCATCACACGAATAAATTACACTATTTCTTAGAGAAAAAAATAAGTAATATTTCACAATATTTATATTGTTCCTGCATTTTTGATCAAATAAATGCATACGAGAACATCTTACCAAAATTTTGAGCAGTGTGTTTAAGAGATTCTTGGTGTTCTGATGTCAGTCCAATTGTAAGTTATCTCTTTGATTCCAGTCTATGATGTCATGCAGTTTGTTTTCGCTTCTCCGCATTCAGACAGGCTGACAATTTTATGACATTGTGCTGTAAAATGACTCATACCTTTTAATCGTTGCATGTGTCATTGTATGCAGTGTGGCAGAGCACAAAGAACTGAACATGCATCGGCAAACAAGCATGAGTGGCGCAGAGTCTGATTTCTTTTGCATATATCAACATGTTGATTTCCTTCTGTCCATCATTGCATTACCCGATTTGCTCGAGAATGAAATGACGACGCCGCTTGTGTATTCTGCGTGATGTCATGTCTCTTACAGATCCTCTTTGAAATGGAATGTAACATCAGTTGATGGCAGCTCTGTTAGATTGGATATCTCATACTAAAAGATTTCTGTTTCTTTTTGCTCATTTCTTTCTTTTCCTGATCAGGGCATCACCTTCGAAGAGTTCAGGTCTTTCTTTCAGTTTCTCAATAACCTTGAAGATTTTGCCATCGCCATGCAGATGTACAACTTTGCTTGCCGTTCCATTGGACAAGGTTAATGCATTGGGATTCACAAATACTAGCATTTAACACATATACAAAATACACAGTGGGATCCAAAAAGTCATGAGACCACCAAAAAAAATATTTATAAATAAATAAACCTTGAAAAAATATTGTTTTAGGAATGAAGTTTTTTTTAATTCAACTTTTCATTTAGATTGTTATGCTGGATTTTTTTATTTCTAATAAAAGCATTTAAATTGAAACATTTTCTCTTTATAGTGGTCTCACGCTTGTTTGCCCCACTTTAAGCCTATATATTTAAAAAAAAAAAAAATTCATATTGGTTTGATATGTTATCTAATGCAGCGGGATTTACTTAAGTGTGGTTTAAGGGTCTAAATACTTTACATTCTACTCAAAATCTCAACTAAAAATGAGCTGATCATGTTTTATTAGAAACAAATTTGCACATAATTGACCAGCACATTGAGTGTTTGTTTTGTTGAGCAGATTCATTATATCTTCTGAATGTGTGTCACTCTCCCTCTTCCAGATGAGTTTGCTCGAGCGGTGTATGTCGCAACAGGCCTTAAACTGACCCGTCACCTGGTCAACACCATTTTCAAGATATTTGATGTGGATCACGATGATCAGCTCAGTTACAAAGAGTTCATTGGTATAATGAAGGACCGTCTGCACCGTGGAGGCAGGGTAAGAAAGAGGTGTAGGGGAAAAAGAGGTACATCATCATTCTTTACCTTACTGAGTTAATTACATCAGTTAGATACATTCTGGTGTTTTGATTGTAATTCGGAGAGGTATGGATGGGCAGTATCACTGCAACTATAGTGCCATCTAGTGTTCAGTAGCTATGTCTACAATGAAACCTCCCTCAACATTTAGGCCTAGTTCCTAAATCCACTGTCAAATAAGCATAAGATTTTCTTCTGATGTTGAACAATGCTAGCAGCGAATTTGTTTCTGCAGCATGATTTATTGATTAAAGTTATGTTTTGTAATCCAACTATAGTTTATAGTTAATAAACATACAAATAAAATGCAGCTTTGTCAACTACTGAAGTAATGAATCATTCTCTCATTTTGTTTTTTCCTACCTGCAGGGCTATAAGGATTTAGAGCGTTTCATTTCATTTAAATCATGTATGAAGAAGGAACTGGCAGGCAGATAAGTAACCCCACACACATGTATATACAAATATAAATAAATAAACATGCTACCACTACGTTTTAAAAGTTCAGTGTACCATTCAAGCAATTTATCTAAGATTACTAAAATGTTTTCAAAAAGTTGCATGTGCTCACTAAGACTGTTTGAGAAAAATATAGTAAAAACATCAATATTAACAAATATTATCTAAAATATTCTATTTTATTATCTTTAAAAAAATTTTTTTTTCCTGTGATGGTAAATCAGGATTTTCAGCATTATTACTCCACAACCTATTATAGTTGTGCCACTTAATATTAACCTGCAAAAGAATAGCATTTATTTAAAATCTTTTTTTTTTTGTAACAATGTAAAGGTATTTACCATCACTTTTAGTCAATTTAATGCAACTTAAAAGTATTAAATTATTTTTAAAATAAATAAATAAAATCTCACTGGCCCCAAACTTTTGAACAATTGTGTTTGTGTGTGTGCATACAGTATCTTACTATCTGTGTTATAGCCTTCAGGTTTTACTGGAAAATCTGATGATTTAATAAGTGAAAGTTTTTAAATGGCTCCTTTCCATTTCCCATATGCACCAGGTGAACGCGGAACGCGACTTATATTTTTTCAGAAGGAAACTACTCTGGAAATGTTTGAGATGCTAGAGATTCCATCATGAGATCTACCTCATCCTCTGTTAATCTTGAAACCTTTGGAAACTCGGATTGGGATAGTGTCCCTGCAGTCAGCGCTCTGCATGCTCTAGTATCTGCACATCTGCACGATCAAACTTTGTCCTGTAATCTGCTATTAATCTTGTTTGCATGTAACCTGGAGTTTCAGTTGGTACAAGTTCAATTTTTGTTTGTTTTGAAGTTACTCAAATGTGTCCAAGCAGGGTAAAGAGACCATTTTCTTGATGTTTTAAGTAGGATGAACTAATCATTATGCCGTTTTATTAATTATGTTTGTACTATATTGTACCTTGCATTTTATTATGCCCATTACAAACAAAACTATTAATCATATTTGGTTATTGTATCTGTCAGGATTGTTTAAATGCACCGAATAATACTGTGTGAAAGAGTTTGTTTTTGAAAGAGATTAGTTCATGTATCAATAATGATCATTGCCTTATTATATATATATTCTCATACAATTTATTTATTTTTGAACAGGTATGGCTGCACAAAGATTGTATAAGTTTGTCTTGGAGTTTAAGGACTTTAAGACTGTAAGTACTTGATAAATAGACTTGAAATTCCATAACAATGTTATTCAAGTCAATAAAATGGTCCATATGATGAAAAAACTCTGTTCAAGATTGTCTCTAATGAAGGAGCATGACTTATAGGACTATATTAAAATATAGCCTGTAGGATTATATGGGAGCGCGGGGCACAACAATAACGCGGGGCTAACTTATAACACACTTGTTTTAAATACACATTGTGTCCCGCTCTCCCCTAGGTCGCTATCAGAATATTATTTATTATAATTAATATTATTATACATAAACTTATCAGAAATAGGCTGTTTTCCTTTTTGATACAAATATAAAGGTGAACGATTTAGGATTTAAATCATCAAAATAATTCTGAAACTTAAGAAAAACCTGAAGACATATGTCTTAAGAATTTAGCAAGTGTAGTTTTCCAAATTATAACACATAGTTCTATAATATGTGACATGTTCAAAACATAGAGGTTCAAAACAACTTTAATTTTTGACGGAACCTTTATACAGAGTGGGCGTTTCTCTCCGGGTATTTGATAGTGATGTACCAATTCACGATTTACAAATTTCCCTCAAGAAAAAAAATCAAATGTATTAATAATAGCCGATGTTTGTGTGTGTGTGTTTGTATGTGTATGTTATATAGTGTCCGAAAGTCTAAAATGCTTATATACTACGTTTTTATTGAGAAACACGTATGCTCTCTCTTGATTGGTTGCTTTGTCACGTGTTGTTTCCAGAGTTCGACTTGCATTGTGGGTAACTGTAAAGGTGACCGTAATATAAGTGTATTTATATTGTTTATACAGTAAAATATAAATAGTGTTTGATGTTATTTAAGTTTGATTTTAAACCGAAACAATGAACGCTGTTAAAAAATCTACTCGAATAAGGTTGTGAATGTTGTTGTTTTTCTCATCGGTGATAATGGTGAGCACATGTATGTGGAAATATCATGTCTAGCTTCAACAGAGAAATTGTGCCTACTAGTTGTACACCGAAATTAGTCAATATTTAAATTAGTTACAAGTATTTGAAGTGTTAGTGATTATGGGCATACCAATGTTTTAGTTGTTACTTTTCTAATCGCTGTTTCATGTACAGCGCGACTGACCAACTAATGAACACCGTCTGTGAGACATCTAGTGTCAGAAGTGACTCGAGCTGGGTTTTGCAAGGTAAGGTTAAGACTATACTTTCAGGGATCATTTCTATAGTTCTTAACTTGGAAGTGCATTTCTAAAGTGATGAGTCTCCCTACCCACGATGATGAGCTTTGATACTTCTTTCTGAGCGTGAATCGGGTGTAGAGTAATGATTTATTTCATAAGCTCTGCATCATTGATGAACGTTCCTCGCTGAACTATTCAGCAAGGAGGATAGAGGTATGATCAGAGTGGTTTTTAAACATGGTTAATATCAGATTTATTATTAGTAGAGAGGACGGTTGTCTCATTATACGTACTAAATATCATAGTTATTACTTGACAAACTTTCTTCGTGTGTACAATCACTGTAATATTAATTATAAAATTGAATACATGAAACGCTCTTCACTGCAAAATATGTTGAGAAAGAAAACGTATGATGAGAGTAACTTACCTTATGTTTTTATAAAAAGTAGAACAATTAAAATAGTCTGGAATGTGTAAAGCGAATTTGTGAAAATCAGTTTATTAATATCTCTTTTGCAAAGTGTTAGACAATGTGAAGCTTTATTAACAGTGGTAGTTAGTGGACTGTAAATAAAAGTGTCATTGGTTTAGATTAAATATGTTAATTGACATGAGGTTTTTTCTTGTTTGTGCGTTTAAATTGATCCTTATTTTGTCGTTTTTTATGACGTTCATATATTTGTACTTAATGGATTTATTTAACTCTCTGTGTGGAAAGTAAAGTTATTGCAGTTGGTTAGATTACATTTAATCTGCAGCAATGGCATGTTATGTTTTATTTTCGTATCTATAAAGCTGAGCGTGACGATTAAGTTTGTATTTAATCAAATAAACTTTTCTCAACATGCACATGGTTTTAATAAAATTTTCTTTTAATATAATATGCATATATTATAAAGATTAAAGACTAATACCGTATTCCAGGCAACCTGTAACCAGTGTTTTTCCAACCTGTGACATCGGGCATATTTTGTAAATTCTTAAAGAACAAAAAGAATGACCTTCTCAGCTGCCATAGTTGCACCTCTTGCATCATCAGAACTGTGTGTTCAATGCATCACCGTTTCTGTTTAAAAAACATTGTCCAATGTTTGTCATGGCTGAACGCAGCCCTGTGTACATCTCGTGTGTTTAACAATGCAGCACGTTTGAGCTTCAGCAAGAACCAATGAGATTCAATCTAGTTTTTACGCAGCACTTTTGAGCTTCAGCAAGAACCAATGAGGTTTAATATTCTTGCTCTAGACGTGTAGTAAACTCGGTTGGGCTAGTTAATGTTAGCTGATCTTTGTTATGTGAATTAAAGCCTAAATTAAATCTCATCATCATATAAAATCTCTACAGTGATGAGAAAAGTGACTTCTGAATTCTGAATATAAATTGTAAAAACTATACAGATTGAACCCAGGCAGATGTTTAGTTAACTTGTTTATATATATAAATTAGCATGGAAATTTAAATTAGAAAATAGCAATAATAACATTCTGTATTTAATTATTATTTGATCTTGTTCATTCTTGGGAAAAGTAACTTGTTTGTAAATCCAATTTAGTATTACACTTCTATCAGAAGGTCTTACGTGGCTATCAAATTCCTTCCATGCTCAATCGTTAAGTTCCCTAATGAATAAGTATACCAAAGGCAATTGTTATATCTAATATTTTACTCATTACAAACCACTCTGATCATACCCCTTTCCTCCACACTGTGTGATACAGTGGGGAACGTTCATCAATGATGCAGAGCTTATGAGATAAATCATTACTCCACACCCGATTCACGCTCAGAAAGGAATATCGAAGCTCATCATCGTGGGTAGGGAGACTCATCACTTTAGAAATGCACTTCCAAGTTAAGAACTATAGAAATGATCCCTGAAAGTATAGTCTTGATTAAAACTTGCAAAACCCAGCTCAACTCTCTTCTGACACTAGATGTCTCACAGACGGTTGAGACTTAAAATTACAAAAAAACAAACAAACAAAAAAAACCAAAACAAAACAAAACAATGACATCTTCATAATACGTGCCGCTAAGCTAAGGCACTTTTTGAATAATATCGCTTGTAATAAACAGAATTTTGCTAATCCAGTGATTAACGTTAGTTAAAGCGCTCGATACTTAGCATGGCAACTTGTAAGAATGATTTCCAGACTGTTGGTTAGTGGCATGTCATTGTGTTGCTGTTCTCCTGTGTTGTGTAGAATAGAGGTACAGTTATTCCATTTCTTAAAAAAGAAGAATAATTCTCAGAAACCTGTCGAATATGCTTTTAGAACCGTGTCTCTTTAAACTCCTCCCTGCTGTGAGTGATGACGGGAGCAGCGCTAAACAGCTGACGTCACGCTCACACGGGTTGTTTTCTTGTGAGCCCGTGTACTTCTTAATCTCTCATACTGTTATTAAAACTAACAGATCTTTTAGCGGCTATATTATTGTTTCCTCTTGGCTCCACATTCACTCATTTAAACGGGCACTGGGTCGCTAACATTAGTAAACACCACATAGGTTAGTGGCTAATGCTAATGGTGGCGTTGGGTATTTTTCGAATTTCTGTTTCATTTCGCCAGGCCTCTTAAAACTGACACCGCCGAGAGATTCAAGCGTTAGTTTGCGTTTTGGCAGTCGAGGATGAACTGGATTTTCCCTCTGTCCAAGGGCTCTGGATCGATCCCTCCTCTGAACAGTTTACAGAAACAAAGACAGAGACAGATCGAGTCTCTCAGAGCTGCTCACTCCAAGTAAGTCTCGCTCAATGGCTGTGTCCCAAACCTAGAGAGCTAACCTAAATAACGTTACCTGGACAGCGTTTAGGTATTAAGACAGCAGGAGGACGCTCGCTAGGATTTCAGGCAACCAAAATGTATTAACTTATACTTCTAATGATTTTAGTATTTATAACACGTGCTCGCTGGTCGGCTCGTTGACATGAATCATCCAGAATACCCTATGTATGTTGTTGTTGTTGTGTTTTTGTGTGTGCGCGCGCGCTCTGGACGTCCCGTACATGTTTCAGATTAAAGTATTAGCTCTTCATAGTTTACTCCAGATCCCTTCTTACTCAACAAGACAGGTATTAAATTAGTGGCAGGGTACACCCTGTATTGTTTCTAAACAGACAGGTAGAGCCATTTTGTTCCTGAGAGGGTTTGACTTCCTTAGTTCTGACGAAGTGACATTTTTAAAGTTATTCAGACCACACGATCTGGCCAATTTACGCAATGGAGAGTTTATCACAATTCTGAACCATCGATCTTCCATTTTCGTAAAATGTAACTAATATGTACCAGCTAGTCTCGAAAACCATACTGAAAGTGTATCATTTCAGATACCAACTTCGCAAAATATAATTGATAGTTCCCAAACATGTTTCCCGAACTCCTCCATTGGTCAGCAAAAAAGATAGCCCCGCCCTCAAATAATGTGATTCACTAACAGGTGGATGCCTGTTTTTGAGGGTTTTTGTATGTGCAGTATTAAAATGGACAGTGCTATTTGTTTATGGAATATAGCATTGATGTAAACAAACGTGATCTTTGATCACAATATTTTGCAGTCCCTCTTGCAATGATATGTCTTTTGATATCTCTGATGACGTGTTTACTTGTCACTCACATGAAATCACAGATCATAGCAATAGCAAACCACAACTATCCAGTCAATTCAACAAACTCAAGTCACAGTCTACATACACAAGCAGTTTCGCTTGGGATATATGCCACATATTCCGTCATATTGATCTGCCTGCATTGAATGAGAACTGAACGGAGCTTTCTGAACTGAACAACACATTGTATGAGAACTGAACAGAGCTGGACCATGACACTAGTGTTTCTCCAGAGCGGCCCTATTGATAAAATGACTAAATTAACAAAATTAACAACAAAAATGAGCCATCATTGAATTTACTTAATCTGGACAACGACACTATTTTCTTCTAGATCTGCTGTATAGCTGAAACAAAATTTGTTGCATTATTTTCCTGTTATCACTGTAAAGCTGCTTTAAAACAATTTGTATTGTAAAAAATGTTAAATAAATAATAGTGACTTCACTTCACAATAGGGAAGAAACAATACTATCTCATTGTCTGTTTTTTGCTGACTTTATAAAACAAAAAAAAAATGTCTACTTATTTGTCTGACTTAATTCTGATGTTTCCATAGTCTTGCAGAAATTCAGAAGGATGTAGAGTACAGACTTCCTTTTACCATCAACAATTCAACTATTACTGTCAATATGTAAGTATACAATTGTATTTTGTTTTATTTATGCATTTACACAGGGTTTAGACTTTTAAAGGGATACTCCACTGTTTTTTTTTTTTTTCATATTAAACAATGTTATTCCCTTAACTAAGGCAAGTTGATACATACCTCTCTCATCTCAGTGCGTGCACTCAATCGCTCTGGCACGCGAGATACGTTGATAGCACTTAATTAGCCCAGTTCATTCAATATGGGCCAAGCAGAGAAGCGACCAAACACCTCCATGTTTTCCCTATTTAAATACAGTAACATGAGTAGTGTAACTCGACCTAGGACGGTGACACAAAATAAAACATGCTTTTCTAAGCGTGTAAAGTGGATAACTATATTGTATGGTGGAATACAACAGCAAGTGCTTGGGAGCCTTTCGACTCATATATTTATCTATGGACTCGGTGCAGTAATATCATCTCTCCGAGAGTGGGAGGGGGGAGAGGACTTTTCACGAGTGATGATATTACTGCGCAGACAGAGGTATGTATCATCTCGTTTTAGTTAAGGGAATAACATAGTTTAATATGAAAAAACTGTCGAATATCCCTTTAAGTGTTGTTTAAATTGACAATTGCTGTCCTCCACAGCTTACTCCCACCACAGTTTCCTCAGGAGAAACCAGTGGTCAGTGTGTTTCCACCAGTAGGTCATCATTTAGTAGACGGTAATAATGGAACAATGGTTACCAGCCCACTCATAACTAATGTAAGTTATTTGTCATTTTATATGACTTTATATGACTGCATGTAAATGTTCTGATTTTCTACTCAGATTTCTTTTAGGTAAACATGAAATCAATACTTATGTAGCCTATATTTACTTTCATTAATACACATTCCTGGTCTTATGATTTGTCAGTGCACTTTATTAAATTATTCAAATCGCCCAAACGTTAATTTAAAGGAGTAGATCACTTAAAAAAGTCGAAAAGAAATTAAGGTTTTTGATGAAAACATTCCAGGATTTTTCTCCATATAATGGACTTCATTGGGAACCAAACGGTTCAAGGTCCAAATGAGAGTTTCAGTGCAGCTTTAAACGTCACCAGACCATGAATAGGGGTATTATCTAGCGAAATGGCCGGTCATTTCAAAAATAAATAAAAAACTGTACGTTTTATAAGCACAAATGCTCGCCTTGCTCTGTTCTGTGATGCGCGTTCGTGACTCTCCTGTTTGAACTCGTTTAATCAAAATGAATGAATCTTTTTTTTGAGTCAGTTGACTCGAAAAAAGATTTGTGAACTGTCTGGTACCCAGTGACGTCCATTATATGGAGAAAATCCTGTAATGTTTTCATCAAAAACCTTAATTTTTTCTCCTTTAATTCTGTTTTTCACAACCCAATCAATAGCTTTTGCATAAACTTCTTAAAGCAGCGCTCAGTAAGACTGGAAACTTCTTTGCTGTTTTCTCGCAGGTTTCTCTCTCGAGCTCCCCCTACAGTTTCGGAGTATATATACATGAGAAAACTGTCGTAAACTCGTTGTCAACTCCCCCTCCCATCTCGTTCAGGCAGGCCATGTGAATTTGTTTTCAGAGAAGCCGGCGAACAAACGGATTTTGTCCCCACCACTTTTGAAACATCTCGCGGCACAGATGTACCAATGCAAATAAAACATCTCCAGTTAACAGCATTCGTTTCATTTGTTTGTTAAATAACAGGCGATCTAGCACTGAAATGTGTTGGCTTCTCTCAGAAACGCGCTTCAATCCGTTGCGGAGATTCTTTCCGGTGAAATCACAAATAAAAATGCACACAAACGTGTCCCTTTTTCTCATGGTTTCTAATTCCTCTCTCGTATATTTTCCCCCACTCATCAAAACATATAAAACCACTGATAAACATTATATCAATTCAACCACTGATAAACATTATTGGTTTTGATGAGGGGGAAATAAAAACTATTCGAGTGCGGAACCTCTGGCCGGACCATCACTGTATTGTGCTCATTTTTATTTATGTGCATCAGGAAGCTATGGACATCGTCGTTCAAAATATTACCTACTCGAAAGAGAAAAAAAGAATGAATGCGTTACCCAGCACTTTTGAAAATTCCCTTCCAAATGCGTCTCTGTCCCGAGCACATTTCAAACCAAACTGACGCCCGAGCCATATCCACTGAGGTATGATTCTCAGAACAATATTATTCAAATGTTGAGATAGTGTATATTTTTATTGTGTTACCAAACGTTATCAGTAACATTATGGTTAAAAATCAATAATACTATAAGAAATGTTTCCGCTATTTATTTATTTTTAGTTTAGCCTACAGCTATAGCTACTTTGATTATGCATTATCAAAATACATGTTACGTTACATTCATCATTTTTCTGGTGATCCGAGTTGTCTATCGTAACGATTGACCAAAGAAAGTCAAACACGTTTAATTTGTTTATTACAAGTTTGTTTATTTTATTATTGAAGCTTGAGACCGGTGGTACTGGTGGTCTGGGGTGCCTCGGAGTTGATAACACTTGCCAACGCTTGTAGCTAAAAAGGAAAAAGAAAATGTATCAATCTTTTATCAACATATCATTTATAGACAAGGTCAAAATAGCACAGATGGAGTTGCATGTGTGAAGTTGCAATGCAATTTCTCGTTTACTTATAGTTCTGTTTGTGTAAATGTGGGTAAATAAATATAAAAAAGTTGCATTATTAGCTAGCAGCTCTCGTGTCGGTTTATGCATTATCAAGTCAGCAGCACAGTATAACGTTACTAATTCTGAGGCTGACGACAAGCTAAACTAATGCATAATTTGTAGAATTTCATATCGATTTATAGGCGATCTGAGAAACACAAATAAACCCTGATAGAGGAACGGACAAAACACTTACTTACAGAAAACAAGCAAGTTTGTTTGCTAATGAAAATGCTAACATCTAAGTTACAGTATCTAACGTACTAGTAAGCCGGTAACAGACAGCGAGCATAATATAATAAAAAAAAAAAAAAAACAGACAATAGCAAACATCCCGACTCCCGAGGTCACAATTACAAGAAATACAAACATTAAACACAGTTTATTATAAAGATACTTACAAGTGCAACAGCAAGAAGGCCAGGTCAGCATCGGTTTTGCAGGCTTCGCTTTCTTTCAGTTCTCTCTATTCTGAAAAAGCCGGTCCGTTTCTCTTCTATGTTTCTCTGATAAACACTTCCGAGCTGTCTTCTTCTTCTTTTACATCAGCCATCACGAAAACTTGAAGAATTCAATATCTAGCGTTACCTTTTTCTTATAGCTAGCCGGCTCCTGGATGGCCGGGGGCGTGTACGCATGCGTGTGCGCGTATAGTGCCGTAAAGCAATTCGTTACCTCGCGAGACCTGAAATCTCACGATACTTCCTAACACTGAGGCCGGCGAGCCGCCGGCCCAAAGTTGCAAGGGTGGTTTTGCGGCTCACAGGCACCAGGGGGGTGCGAGATGATCACCATTCAACACGAAATCAGTAATATTAACATTACAATGACTCCAAAGCTGTTCAGTTAAGGTAAAAAAGTTACTTAGTTCTGCTTTAAGTCAAATGCCATTTTGTGTACATTTATTAACTACCTAACTACCTAACTATCTAAATAGGCTATGTATTATGCAACAGTAATGACATTTGTTTTCTTTTCCCTTTTCATTAGTTTGGAATGCATTCAGATTTAGGGAAAGTTATTCAGAGTTTGCTAGATGAGTTCTGGAAAAGTCCTCCTGCCTTGATGTCAGGTCCCAACTTTCCTTAGTGAGTTTTTATTTTTATTTTTTATGTTGCTGCAAGTTAAATCATGTCTAATCAGGAAGATCTCTAATGTGTGCGTTTGTTGTTATCTTTGTCTTGTGGCTCAGTATGTACAAACCATCTGGGATGCCTCCTTACTCAACTCAGAGCTTCCATTTTGTTCCTGCCTTCCAACCACAGGATGGTCAGCGGCCTATTGGCCCTGCCCCTGTGCCACATGCAGGGGCGGAGCCTCAACAAGCCCCTCCCCGACCAGCAGCACCAGCTTATGGACTCATCACAGACCTTCCTCTTCCTGTACCAACTGCTGATTCACAGGTACCTAATGGGTATTCAGTCCAAAATCAGCCAGCTGGTGTACTACTATTACATTCACTGTGTTTTGCACAACTACATCTAGATACACTTGCTCACATTGTGTGTGACGCTGAGGTACTTTTTAATTTTTAGTTAAATAAAAATTCAAACGACATACATTTGTTGCTTGAATTGATTTGATAGAAATCATATTTTAAGTTAATTTCTGATGTTCAGACTGCAATATGATATCAATGTTGTGAACAAATAAAATAGAAGCTATAGGTGATAAATTTGGATGCATCATTGTGTTTACTTTAAATTTCCATCACCATCTTTGCCACCTGCTACACACCATGATTCATTAAAAACAAGGCCACAATCATTTTTTACAGTAATCCTCGTCAGTTTCACGTCACACATAATATTAAGAGGTTAATTCACACTGGGTGCAAGTTTCTGAGACATATTTCCAGCATGATGTATAAAGTTGAAATTCTTAAGTCTGAGATAAAAGGCAGTCAGAAATATGAGATATAAGATAAAATGTCAGAATAATAACTTTTAATCTTATCAGGATTTTTATATTATGTCGTAGTGTTTAATCACTTTGACTTTTATCTCATAATTAAATTATGACAATTTTAATTATCCACATGATCCACACTGTTTGTATAAGCAGTGTAGTGTTGTGTAGCATAGTTTTGCAAGATTGTAAATCATAATTGACATGAAAATTCGAAATTATGAGATAAAACGTTGAAATTATGACACACTGTAAGAATCTATAGTCAGCTCCTATCCAGCTTCCACTCCAATATATGTCAATTGTTATAGTAAGATAAAAAAAATTATAATAATTCTGAGATAAAATGTTGAAATTGATGTTTTTTTTATTTTTATTTTTTTTTTTTTCATTTAATTGACAAAAAGTCGAAATCCATTAAACATTTTTAATTGAGATAAAATGTCAATTTTGACCTGTGTAAATTTAAAAAAAAATCTTATAATTATGACTTGTCAATCATATAATTGACGTAAAAAGTCAAAATTATGAGATAAGTCAAAATTATGACATGAGAAAGAAAACTAAGACAAAATGGGCTTCCATAACTCCTGGCACACTGAATGGTAACACTCAAAATGCACTTTATCTTATTAATCAGCATAGTCTTTTGCAACATAGGCTTTTATTAAGCAAAATTCACTAATGGAAGGCATTACTCGCCACTTTCTGTGTGGTGTGACATAAGAAGACGCATAATTCAGTTCTCACTCTTGTTGTCCTTCCTTTGTAGTCAGGTCTGAATGGACACATATACAAGATGCCTGAAATCCCAGATACATTTCCAGAATTATCTGAGATGAGGTATGAAATTTCAGGGCATTTGTTTTGTCTTGCATTTGTTTGTTCTGTGGATGAATCAGATCTTGTTTTTTTTTACTGTTTTAGAACAGTAAAAAAGATCTTGTTTTTTACTGTTCTAAAACACACTAATTACTTTAGTCTATTCTTAAAATTAAATATGAACTTGACACTACTCACATTCTGTCATCTTGTGTTTGTAATCTAGTGTTTCTCAACTGAAGGATATGAACGATCAAGATGACGTGCTGTTGGAGTTCTTCATGTGTCTGCCTCAGCTCAAACAAGTAACCTCTGACAAAGAGGAGCTGGTCAACAACATTGTAGAGATGGCCAGTGAGTTTCTTGAGCGCACTGCCGATTGAGCTAGTTACTAACCTCTAGATCAATTTTAGACTAAAGTTGGATCAGTGTTTTTTTTTTTTTTTCACAGATAACCTGAATCATCAAACTAGCCCTTAAAACTATAGACCATTTTGCAAGATGTAAACAAACACTTCCTGTTTCAGTTTTTTTAACACTACATACAAGCTGGGATAAAATACAACCAACATAACATATAAAACTGAGTCAAAAGGTTAAACAAACATCTTTGAGATTTTTAGAAAACAGTTCCAAACTGAAACAGGAAGTGTTTCTGGACCAGTGTTGTTTACATCTTGCAAAATGGTGTATAAAGACACACCTCTCTGTCCTGTCACACATTTCATGTAGATCAGATCAATGTTTTTGGTGTAGTTTTGCAAATAACAGAAGGAATATATTTTGCTTTCAGAGAAAAACCTACAGCTTGAGCCTCAACTGGAGAGCAAGAGACAAGAGATGTTGTGTAAAGTACGTACTTTAACAAATGCTGTCACTAATACTTGGGTCCAAAAGTCTGATTTCATTTTTCAGTTCAACTTTTTTTCATTGTCAATGTTGATATTATGGTATTAAAAGAGAAAAAAATGCAAAGTAGAAGCATTCATTTCACAAGCTGTCTCAGACTTCTGGAGCCCAATGTACATTGTAATCTTGTCACCTTCTTTCCTTTTCTGATGCTAACGATTACCTGGTGTGTGTTTTGTTTTTTTGTGTAGTATGAACAGTTAACCCAGATGAAGTCGGTATTTGAAACCAAAATGCAAAGACAACATGAGCTCAGTGAGGTAAAGCACACATGCAAAGATGGAGGGGATCTTCCAAGATGTCAGGATTTTGCATACCTGTGTTGTGTTTGAGGTTTTTCTGCCTCCATATTGTGTTTTGCTCTCTTTTTTATTTTGTATAAGCAAAATTAAAATAAAAAATACAAAATAATAATATAATAAAATAATCATTTTGATCATAAAAACATTAAAAAAGTAATATTTTGAAATATTATTATAAGTTAAAATACCTCTTTTTCTATTTTAATATTATTCCTGTGATGTCAAAGTTGATTTAGTGCTTATTTATTATGATTTTTAATCATTCTGATTATTCTTATCAATGTTGGAAATGATTTTTGCAGCTTTTAGATTTTTTTTGCTGCTGTAACCGTCATCCCGTGATTTTTATCAGGATTTTTTAATGAATAGAAAGTTCAATATAATAGCATTTTTTTTAAATAAAAATATTTTGTAACATTATAAATGTCTTCACTGTCACTTTGATCAATGCAAATTGTTATTTATTTATTTTTTTTAATCTTACTTAAGCCCAAACTTTTGAATTGTAGGCTATCACAAGTTTTTCAAAAATATTAAACAACACAACTGTATTCAACACTGACAATAATAGTAATGTAGAAAAATGTTTGATAGTATGAAAATTCAAGATGGTCCTCACAACAGAACACGCAATCTGGGGGGAGGAGTTGGATCCAGATCCAACCCCTCCCACCTTGCATATACCTAAAGGCCGATTTATACTTCTGCGTAGGGTGCGCGCAGTAGGTACGGCGTAGCATACGCACAGACGCGTCCCATTGCGCGTACCCTTCGCCGACCCTTACGCCCACCTCCTCAAAAATGTAACTACACGTCGCGACGACGCGGACCGCAAGATCGGTGATTGGTCGGCTTGGTAGCATCGCATTTCCTCCTACGCATTTCCGCACGTACCTTCTCACGCATTTCCATCACTGTCTATGATTTCCACACGTACCATCTCCTCCGACGTCTTCTCTCATTTCTGCCTTTCAGTTTTAGTAATTTCACTAAAGTGAACTGTTTTTCCACCTCAATAAGCTCCAACTCCAACATGATCCACTCTCTTTCAATCGCTATTGCTTGTAGTACCCTAGCCGCGAGGAATCTAAACACAGTGGAACATTAAAACTCTCCGCCGCCAACTAGCGTTTCGGAGCAGTACTGCAGAGCAACAAGACCTGAACGCAGAAGTATAAATGCTCATAACGGCGTCGCCTACGTGCGTAGCCAACGCCGCACATTACGGCGTACCCTCGACGCAGAAGTATAAATTGGCCTTAAACCTACCCATCTCCACCCCCTGATCTATAACCCCACCCCTAATCTTACACATCTCCACCCCCTGTTCCCTAATCCTACCCATCTCCACCCCGTTTCCTAACCCTACCCATATCCACCCCATGATTCCTAGCCCCACCCCTAATCCTACCCATCTCCACGCCCTGATCTATAACCCCACCCCTAATCTTACACATCTCCGCCCCCTGTTCCCTAATCCTACCCATCTCCACCCCCTGTTCCCTAACCCCACCCCTAATCCTACCCATCTCCGCCCCCTGGATCCAACTACGCCCCCTGGATCTCATGTACTGCAATAAGGTGCTTCTGGAAAATTCTGCCGTTTTTAATAGAACTGTTCATTTTCATATTCCTCTGGCAGAGCTGCAGTCTGAGTGCGCTGCAGGCCAGATTAAAGGTAGCGGCCCATCAGGCTGAAGAGGAGTCTGAGGAGACAGCGGAAAACTTTCTGGAAGGAAAGAACGAGATTGATGACTTCTTAGGCAACTTCATGGAAAAGAGAACGGTATTAAAGCCATATTCAGTATGAAACAACAAACATTATAAACATATAAACATTTGTTTGTTGCGTCTTCTATGCACCTCCAGTAGAAAGCATAAGGGAAATTGTAAAGCACCACACAACAATTTCATACAATTAATCATGCCGTTTTCATAAGCATAGCTTTATACAACATTTCACAAGACTAGTGTGATGTTCATGAGACTGTTTGTTGTGCTCCAACTTCTTGTTACTAAAGGAAGTCTTATCTTTAGGTCTGATATGAAAACTTGTGTAACGTGATACTGATGTAACATTCTGTTTTAGCTTTGCCATTGCAGAAGAGCCAAAGAGGAAAAGCTCCAGCAATGCATGAACACACATGGACAGTTCCCCTCAACACATTAGATTGAATGTCCCAGTGCTCTCTCCATGGAGGAAGGTACGTTTCTCTCAGCGAAACTCAGCAGATTGATTCACTTGTGGTAAGAAAGTGTTTTCAACGCTCACCTTTGTTAAACATGTTGCATTCTATTCTTAATCACAGGTTTGGGATCAATCTACCAGCAGACCGGTGGGCTTGAGACAAGCAGCATATCTTGTGGTCTACAGCCCCGATTGGGCAAACATAGACACATATGACAAAAAGAGATTTCTGCATAATTTTTTAATGAAATCAAAATGATTTTTGCACATGATTCCAAAAGTGTTACACTCACAATGATTGAGTAGACAGGTTCGAGTACGTTTGGATGTGCCCAGTCTGGCTGTGACCCAAAGGAAATCTGTCCTTAATAGTGTTCAGAAACAGCCGGAGTTCTAAGCTTATTAGTTGAGTTGATGATGTGACAAATGAGGTTGGGCCTTGTACGCACTTGAAAATGGTTTTGAACAATGTTAATGCTGCCGTAAACGTACGACAAAGACATACTGTATTTAATAATGTTGATAAAAAAATCCTTTATTATAATTAGACATTGTATTATATGTTTATTTAATTTGATAGGTTAATAAAACATTTAGAATAATCTCTGTTATGGCTTAAGTGTGGTTTTGCATCTTCAGTAACTTTAATGAAATTACTAAATGGAATGAAATATATTCTGGAGGTATATGCACAATATATCGGTTGTGAGCTAATATTAGAGATTTCTTAAAGTCCCACTCCAATCATATTTTGAGCTATTTTTTAACATTCCCAGTGGTCTTTAAATTATGATTATGCCATTTTTAGACAAAATCACAAAACCTGTGCCGTTTTCTGGGACTTCACTTCAGCAGAGCGGCAGTAGCTCATTAGCAATTCGCCTCTGCGTTGTGGGCGGAGCCGTTGGCACGGAGACGACTCTCCCCCTCCCGTTGCTGAGAGCTTGTGGCCGCGCCCACAACTCCAGTCGATTTTAGCCGGCATTTTTGCGTCTGCTAGTGCTACTGATTCACAGCCATTTGAATGTAGTAGAAATACTCAGAAATAACACTGTGAGCTTATTTTTCTCAAGATATGTCCTCTAACTTCAGAAAATTTACACAACAACATATTAACACTTCAAAAACATTATTTGTAATTATTTGTAACGTTATTCATAAACTCTTGTCTCAGGCCCAGAAGGAAGAAAAGGAATAGTCAAATAAAGTCGTTATTTTTGTATTTTTTTTCCACACAAAAAGTATTTTTGTCGCTTGATAAACTTATAGTTGAGCCACTGTAGTCACATGGAATTTTTAAACATTTTCTTCAATGACTTTCTGGGCCATCAAGTTTCAATCCCTTAGGGTGCCTATATGGTAGTGATACAGCTCTCAAATTTAATCAAAAATATCTTCATTTGTGTTCCGAAGATGAACGAAGGACTTATGGGGTTGGTACAGCATGGTGGTGAGTAATTAATTACTTAATTTTCATTTTTGAGTGAACTAACCCTTTAATAAACCGGTTTGGAACAATCCTTTTTACTCTTTCCCCGCCGCTGATGGAATTTTTCTGATGGACAAATCTTTCTTAGCTTGTTCAAAATGTTGCTTCTTTTATGGAACATACCCACATTCAGTTGTTGATATGAAAAAAGAATGTTTGAAGCTAGAATATGTTTTTATATTTTATTTGTTTAGAGGCTCTGTTCTGTCTTTTGATATATTGTATGTTCAGATATTCATACAACCAATCTTCAGGGGGCCATGACATGTTTGTGATCATTTTATAAAATCCTGAAGGTGATTGGCAACTTTTTTTTTTTAAATAACATTGGCGGGGAAAGAGCTAATGGTGTTAATTACACATTTCACTATAATGTTCATCAAAGAATGACAATAACTTGAGTACCCAGATACACCATTTAACGCAAGCATTCTCAGCAAAAATTGGCTCCAGATATGCTGTAATTTTGTTTGTTGTTTGTCAAACATTTTATTGAGAGCATTTTTTGCCCTATATTCATATCTACTGGTATAGCTGAAAAGTTAATCATGTGGATGTGTGAGGGATTGATTGTCTATGTGTCAGAGTACGCCTAGTTACTGAAATGGGAAGTAAAGGTAGTGTGGTTGACATACAGTTCTTGTTTTCACATATACAGCAAATTCTCACAATTTCTATTTAAGAGTTCCTTTGAATACCAATGAAACACACAGGTGGGAATCTAATAGTCTTGATAGGCACAGACCAAATTCCTTGAGGATATGGGCTATGTTTGAAATGGAATCCTAGCATCCTCTTCCTGCTGTATATAGTATGTGAAATTAGAAAGCATGTAACATAGGTAAAAAAAAATAAAAAATTCTCAGACAAATAATAATAAAAAAAAAAAAACCTATTGGTAACCAAGAATGCTGATTAAAAAAAATGCAGCCATTCCAGTTTATGCATTGCTTTGTGGGACACGGTATTTTAGCAAATGTATTATGATATCTGATATATATTCTGCGTATTACTACGAGTAGTATTTTAATATGCTGTTCCGTACATAGTTATGGAAATAAATTAATTGCGCATAAAATATACAGTCAACCCAAAACATTACACAGGAAATAACTTTACTATAATGGAATGCGGTCTTATTGCCAGACCATCTTGGATATTGTGCACATAATTAAATATAAATTCACACACAGATTTAAAAAGAAAAATTAAAATAACATTAAAAATACAACATAGTTCCCAGTTTGATACTGGTTTCTGTGCTTTTATCCCTCATTGTCACCAGTTCTGTTTAGTTCAGGTGTTTGTTTTGACCACCTTATCCTAATAAGGGTCCTTTGCGTCGTCTCCAGCACTGGAGGAGTGGCTACTGAGGTCAGCTACGCCTGACTCAAAATCGCTGCAGGTTGAAAGGTCATCGGGGTCACCGCTCTTAGGTTGGGCTGCTAGCTCTAGTGGCAGTGTGAAAGCAGGAGTGTGTTTCTCACTTCTCAGTGTAGTGAAATAGTCCAGTGGGCTGCCGAGTTCACACTCGCTTGGAATTGGACGGCGGGGCCGTTCAGACAACTTCTTGGTCTCCTTCCTCTCCCCTGAAGTTTTCTCCTTCAGCTCGACAATTCTCTGTTTAGGTAAGCAAGTTTAAAGAGGTCAAAGTCAGTTTTACATTAGTGCAGCAAATAAAAGGAACAAATTCAATTCTAATGAACCGTTTGAAATAGAACACAAGCATACTTTAATGTGAAATATCAGAATGAATCCCATCCCAGAGAGGGTGATGTCTACTTGGTTATACTTTTTCAACTGCTTATTGATACATATGTGATATTTATGCATGCATGTGTATGCCTTGTCCAGCGTCCGTCTCCCGCGGTACCTCCTGGTGGGTGCTAAGCTCCTCCTCCAATTGTTGTGACTCCTCCCTTACTGCGTTCAGGCAATCGACTGGAGACTGTGAGGTCACACTTTTCTCTGCACGGCCGTACATCCCCTTCCAAAACCTAGAACGTCATTTCCAGTTGATTCATCCTTTATTGAACGGTGTTACCCAACAAACCAATTTTATTCACTTTGCAAAGAACAATATATTAAAGATGGTAATAAAATGGTTAATGAAACTGTATGAATTTCTTTCTTCTGCTGAACACAAAATAAGATGTTGAAGAATGTTGGTAACCAAACAGTTGATCGGCCCAATAATTGACTTGGAACTATGGAAGTCAACAGGGTTCGTCAACTGGGTCCGTCAACTGTTTGGTTACCGACATTCTTCAAAATATCTTCCTTTGTGTTCAATAAGGTTTCTTACATGCAAACCGAAGCATTGAGAACATTGTAAGTGTGCTGCAGACCGTTTAATATATGATATTTTAAAGGGTTAGTTCACCCAAAAATGAAAATTAAGTCATTAATTACTCACCCCCATGCTGTACCAACCCCGTAAGACCTTCGTTCGTCTTCGGAACACAAATGAAGATATTTTTGATTAAATTTGAGAGCTGTATAACTACCACATTGGCTCCTAAGGGACTGCCTCTTGACGGCCCAGAAAGTCAATGAAGAAAATGTTTAAATATCCCAAGTGACTACCGTGGCTTAACTATATGTTTATCAAGCGACGCGAATACTTTTTGTGCGAAAAAACAAACAAAAATAACGAGTTTATTCGACTATTTCTTTTCTTCCTTGTAGGCCAGAACGAGACTTCCTTAGATTTCCACGACGCATGCGTCAAGAGGCAGTCCCTTAGGAGCCAATGTGGTAGTTATACAGCTCTCAAATTTAATCAAAAATATCTTCATTTGTGTTCCGAAGACGAACGAAGGTCTTACGGGGTTGGTACAGCATGGGGGTGAGTAATTAATGACTTAATTTTCATTTTTGGGTGAACTAACCCTTTAAAATAATTTTGAAAGACAGTCCACTTTGCGAAAAAAGGCAGGAGCCATCTTTGGAAAACAGTCTCGAGCAGTCGAACCACGAACGCCGAGCCAAGTTCTGGCTCGTTCACATCTCACCAGCGCACTTGGCTTGACGTTCGTGGTTCGACTGCTGTTTTCCAAAGATGGCTCCTGCCTGCATTCGCGAAGTGGACTGTCTTTATAAAATATCTTCTCATTAAACGGTCTATACACTTACAACGTTCTCAATGCTTCGGTTTGCATGTAGGGACCCTGATTATGCTACCGTGTTAGTGTTGGGCTATTTTGAGCCTTGTTAGTGGTATTAACTAGCGATTTTTATTTTCATTACTCTATGCCCCATATACTAGCGTTATAAGCTAAACAGTTTTTAGAGATAAAACTCTTTACATCCGATAATCATGAAAACAAAGCTCAGGGAACGGTTGACTATGTACCAATGTGTAATTAGACCAAAGGTTCATTTTGCGCCGGAGTTGTCCTTTAAATTATTAAAAGGGACAAACTACCCCAGTAATTACATCAAACAGTAGCACTTATAACGCAACAGTCTTTTTTAGTCCACAAGTCCACTAAAGTACATTAGCTCAAAAAAAAAAAAAAAACATTTACAAAGGTGTCATTGCAAGCTGATTTGTGTTCAATATGGTTTAATTTCACATTCTCATTCTGACACTATTGAGCTTTGTCATCTCTGAGCCAATTCAAAAGGAAGCACGACTATTGTACGACATGAAGGAAGGTTAAGTGATCATTTAAAGGCATCATGGCCATTCAAATTGGGTTGACTTACTTGAAGCAGTAGGCAGTGGTGAGAGGTTTCAGAACACCCTGTGTCTGACTGTGGTCTGTCCTGTACAGAGGGTTTGTGTATTCGGCCCTGTTATCCCACAGGTGTGGCCACAAAGAGTGTGTTCGCTCTTGTAACCTGCATAGAGTACAAAGAGGGAGATTGAAAGAATAAACTAGCACATTAAGGTAATGAAACCAAGCTGATCCAACAGTTAGATTACCTTTTGATTAAAACAAAACATGTATGGTTGTGGTAAGCACTTGAAATAGAATCGAATCTGTTTTTTTTTTGTTTTTTTTTTGCTGTAGTTGGTCATTTATATTATCATAAATATTCAGTCACTCTATTGTCATCAGTAAAGTCTTTTGGATATTGAACTCTTGAACTAACCCTTTTTTGAAGAAGTATTGGCATGAACTGGCCATTTAGACAGGAAAAGAATCTAAACATGTTAAGGGATGGACAGGCCTCCATACCATGCAGACATCTGACCTAGTTTTTTTTGGTGTGCTCTACACTAGACGGACCTCCATTGGTAGCTTTTCGGTCGGTTGTGCACATTGAATTGGCGGCGCCCATCTGTGATCACTCTTATTGGCTTATGCCTCATTTCCAACAAGCGGTACAGTACTCCATTTTTTTTTTTTTGCCATTTCCATTGTCAGTTGTGAATGGTACCCTAATTCTGACCCATACAACTTTTTTGGGACTCTTCCATTGATGTACCTAGTACCTAGGGTACTAAAGGGTGGAGCTAGAGTCACTGCAGAACGTTGATTGGTTGACAGAGAATGGTCACTTGTGTGTGCTTTTTGGGCTTTTTTGGTGTTTTTTCTGCCCATCAAGTAAAGGTGCTGTTGGCGGTGGAAACGCAAGCCAGATCATGGTTTACCATCTTGAATCGTACCCTACTGTCCTGTAAAGCTCTGTGGAAACAAGCCATTAGTGAACCAGTGTATAAGAAGAAAAACGAATGGGACGGGATGCTGGTTTGCTGGTCCCCAGCTACTCCAGCTCAGTTTTGCTTTGAAAACAGTATGGCTATGCTGGTCCACCAGCTAAACCAGCACTATACCAGCTCCAACCAGCATAAACCAGCATGGAATTTATTCTGGTTTAAGATGGATTTTTCAGCAGGGTACTACTTCCAGGTTCTGAAGTGTATATCTGATGGATACTTTACCATCTCATAATATCACAGGAGAGGAGTTGTGAATAGCAAGGAAGCATCACGTAACAGTGACCACATAATGGATGTATATTATAATTCCAATCATACCATCCATTTCCACACTATAACATCAATTTTAATGGTTGCAAAGTACTTTGAAAACCAATACATATTAGCCAATACATGATTTCAGACGCGTCTTTTGTTTACGGTTTGTGTATAGCCGTAGTCCTAGCTCTTCCGTTTTCCCATTTTGAATGACAAATACTGACCACGGCCACCTGCAGGTGACTGAAGAGTTATTTCCTCTCATGCAGATGCAGTATGTACATAGTAGTTGGCCATTGGCTGTAGTCTTTTTGCTTTTGGCTGTAGTGTGTTCAAACAAGTTTTTGGTCCAGACGCAAGCAACATGAGTTGACACCACAATTGGCTTTCATCCCTACTAGTGATTTGATCTTGGTTTGTTGTGTCTGGGCCTTTAGGAGCTGTCATAATATCAACCTGGACTCACAAAAGTTACGTATCAATAGCATCAGTTTGGATCCTGCCATTGTTGGGCAATTTCCCAGTAAACAGACTGTGGACAATCTATACAAGTACATCTACAACATCACAGTTCAAAAAGTAATATTTCTGTCAAAGTTGTGACCTAGCAGTTATCTTACATGCTCTGGCACGTTGCAAGTCTGCAAGTCCTCATGCAGCTGGTGCAAGTACAAGTCTGGCAAATGAGGGATATGCTGATCCCCCTCTTTTCTTTCTATTATCCATATCCATAAAAAAGTGGCAAAATGTAATTGGTTTTCTTACCTCAAGTCTCTCCTTTCTTTCTGGCAATTGCCGATGAAGTTCCCGTACTGGCAGGAGTAGATGTGTGTGTGTAGCTGTATGAGGAATCGCTCATTGAACTCAAACGCACAGGGGAACTGCTGCATCAACTGCCACACACACTCCAGAAACTGGTCCATAACTGGGGAAACCTCCTTAGGGTCACCGTCAAGATGAGCGTACCTGAATGTAAAAGATTTTATGCCGACACTTTATTACGACAGTCCACTTGAGACATTCTACTAACTATAAGTAACTTTGCAACTACCAGTCATAGGAGTATTATGGCTCGTTTCCACTGAGTGGTACGGTACAGTACAGTTCGGTACGCAATTATTTGTGTTTCCACTGTCAAAAGTTGTGAATGGTACCAAAAAGCCGAACCGTACCGTACAACTTTTTGGGTTACCCTTCCGTTGGGGTACCTAGCACAGTGAAAGGGTACTAAAGACTTGTAATATGTTGGAGAATTGTATGATCCACTTCAATTATGCCTATGGTTGCTGTAAGCTTTTGCTATATAGGGTTGGGGGGGGGGGGAAGAGGGGGACAGTTTGAGCTTTCTTGAAAATTTCTAAAAAAACATTTTCATTTTTTGGTAAACTGAACCTGTAGTATTTCATGCTTAGATTGTAGTGGCTCAACTAAAGCTTAGAGACACACTGTATACTGCATGACTGATGGTTTAGTCACAGTATCTGTTATGGATTGAGTAATGAGGCCTTTCTGGTTTTGTATGTTATCCATGTACAACAAACATAGTAGAAGAGATTCACAGAAAGCTGCTATTCAATTCAATCATGTGATTCAATAAATTACAAACAAATGCAAGTCTTACATGCGAGTCCAGAAACGTGCAAATTGAAATGAAAAACACAAACCTGTGGGAAAACTTGTGTCCAAATGACATCCAGTCCTTTTCAATCAGAACCTATAAGGATGAAGACTTGTGTTTAAATACTGACAAAAAAGTTACAAATTTAGTCTTTATAGATGATATTAGACTAGCACTTTTTGAAAAGCAAAGCAAAATGGATCAATCATCATCAAAGTTCTTATTACCATCAGTCCCTTGATCGTTCTGTAGTATGAATCTAGTAGTACACTGGCCACCGAACACGCCTGAGCGGTTCTGTCCCACCCGTCTGAACAGTGCACCAGAACACTCACTCCCTCCTCCGCCACTGCCTGTGGACACACATGAACAGAATAACACATGTGATTGTCCCAATCACATGCTATGTGAACTTGGGTACTAAATCATATTTAAAAATTTCTAATAGAGTATTGCCTTTGCAATGAATACTCCAGCATCTAGTACTGCTTTGATGTGTTTTAGCCACCCAGAGTTCTCCAGACCCCAGAGGAAATCACTCATGGTGGGAGCCACGAGATCACCAACTGCAACAAACAGACAGAAAAGGAGCATTACCATATGGATAGGAAGTGATCACCAGACAGGTATCTGTAATAATGATTAATCCATATACCATCTATAAGCTTCTGTTGGCTGTTCCTCATGACATGGATGTTTTCTATGCCAATGAACTGCAGTTTTATGTTAGTGTAGTGGTCCTCATTCTCATAGCCCTTCCCAGCAGCACGATTAGCCATGGCATTCAGCTGAAAGCAGTTACAAACAGCGTTTCAAAGTCACAATACTGTTAGTATTTTGGATTATTTACACTATGGTACATTATGTCATACTGGTATAGTTATGGCAAGGTACATTAAGGCATGACAAGGGGGGTGCTTAAAGTAGTAGTTCACTTTAAAAAAAAAACATTTTCTGATTATTTACTCACCCCCATGTCATCCAAGATGTCCATGTCTCTTTTTTCTTCAGTCGAAAAGAAATGAAGGTTTTTGATGAAAACATTCCAGGATTTTTCTCCATATTCTTTACTGGTAACCAAACGGTTCAAGGTCCAAAAGACAGTTTCAGTGCAAACTGCAAACTGTTCGAAGGGCTTTAAATGATTCCAGATGATGAATCATTAAAAAAACGATCGCTCATTAAAAAAAAAAAAAAAAACACAAAGTTTACGTTTTATAAGCTCAAATGGTCACTTTGCTCTGTTCTGTGATGCGCGTTCGTGACTCTCCTGTTCGAACTTGTTCATCAAAATGAACAAATCTTTTCCAGAGTCAATTCATTCATTTCGTTCATGAACCAAATGACACGAAAAAAGGTTTGTTCATTTTGATAAACGAGTTCGAACAGGAGAGTCACAAACGTGCGTCACAGTACAGAGCAAGCCAACTATTTGAGCTTATGAAACGTAAACTTTTTTTTTTTTTAAATGAGCGATCGTTTCACTTGATAAGACCCTTATTCATCGTCTGGAATCGTTTAAAGCCCTTTGAACAGTTTTCAGTTTGCACTGAAACTGTTTTTGGACCTTGAACCGTTTGGTTACCAATAAAGTGCATTGTATGGAGAAAAATCCTGGAATGTTTATTTCAAAAACCTTAATTTCTTTTCGCCTGAAGAAAGAATGACATGGAAATCTTGGATGACATGGGGGTGAGTAAATTATCAGCAAAAGTTTAAAAAAAAAAGAGTGAACTACTCCTTAAATGTCATGAAAATATCACTATGCAAAAGTAAATGCTGTCTTTTGAACCTTCTATCCATCAAATAATGAATGCATGGTTTCCACACAAAAAAATAAGCTTGTGATTAAGTGAAATGCTAAGAAATGTAACTAGATAATCCAGACAGCAAATAAGAATGATTTCTGAGGGATCATGTGACACAGAAAGCTGGAGCAATGGCGGCTGAAAATTCAGCTTTGTATCACAGGCATAAATTACATTTTTAAAATATATTCAAATACAAAACAGTTGCTTTAAATTGAAATGTCAAAATGATACTGTTTTTATTGATCAAATAAATGCACCATTTGTACATAAACAACTTTAACTACTATACAAAAATAGACAGACAGATAGATAAGAAAACTTCCAAACTACCCAATCTAAATCTCAACAGCTTGTCCAACCTGTTTTGTGTGTGTGT